GGTGGACAAACAATCGCTGCCAAATTCTTGCTCTAGCCAGCTCTTCTGGAAGGCCACCGGGTCAGCCCTTTCCACTCTTTCAGGCAGGCCCACCAGCCACAAGTTGTTTCTGCGTGGCGATTTTTCCAAATCCTCCACTTTATCCTTTCAAAGCTTTAAGTTTACCTCTGCAGGAATTAACTTTAGGCTGGAGAGGGTTGATCACATCCTGTCACTAATGCTCCTCTCAGTTGCTCACACCCACTTCCAAACCTTGTGCATATCCCAGCGCATGATAGTGAGATCACGTTTGAGTTCCTCCACCTTCCCCATCAGATCAGAGTGATTTTCCTTGATAGTAGCAACAACGTCCGACAGGGTGGGTTCTGCAGCCTCCTCCACTCCATCCTCACTGTGGGAAGTCTGAGAGAGCAGCGTTGGTGGTTTCAGAGAGGCTGGCGAGGATGGTGGGGAAGCCTCCGGTACTTCCCCGAACAGCTCCAGGGTGGCGGCCCAGGGAAGAGCGTAGCGTAGCGGGGGGCCATCTTGACTGGAGCGGGTGACTATGTTCATCTTGGCCAGAAGCTGTTTGTGACATCTTTCCATCCACCAGACCATCGGTCAGGAACGGAGAAGTATTCCCCAATGAGCCAGGAGCAAAACAAGCCATATAGCAGGTGTGGGCAATCAGAATGGAGCAGGATTGTCGGAGGATAGCCTGGAGCTGCTTGGGAGAGCATCTGCTCACATGTCGCGTCAGGCTACACACCCAGTGTCATTTCATGAGATAATTTACATGGTCGTGATTAGGGGCAGAGCAGGGTAAGGGGTAGGGTGGGGCAACTGGTGGCGAGTAACTCTTAAGGCCTGGCTAGTAGCTCAGGACTTGAAATTTACATTCCTGCTGTGTATGGTATATTACAGAGGTCTTGGCTTATTTAGTCCTTTGACTGAATATTAGACACTTGCATGATTATTTTTTCCAGTAATCGACTTTTGTTTGAAAATTGTTTGATTTTCAGGGATTCGGATGTATAACGAATCTCTGAATGGACATAGCGATGAATGTAAACTAATCCAAAAAAAAAAGTTATAACAAAATTTAAAGAATGCATTTGTTTCATTCGGAAGATGTCACGTGATTAAATAGTAGTTCGAGCCCATGGGGAAATTTATTAAATTTTCAAATTCTTCGAATAATTTGGATTTGAGTAAATTTGTGTTTTAAATTGAATTTGTCAGTCAGTTCAGTTCCCCAGTGTAATGCAATTCTTAGGTTTCAAAAATTCGGGGCTGCTGAACTTTGCATTATTTATTCTGTTTTTATCATTTATGGAATCCTTCAAAAATCATTTCAATATATGAATATTGAATCCACACAAAATATATAGCAGTCTTCTGAACAAACTGCAACATTTTTCAGTTTCACAAGGACCAATGAATATACGAAACAAATGCCAAATATAATGAAAAGAATCCTGAAAACAAATCCGTTTAACATAACGAATATGACGAAACAAAATTCTTCAGTGATCAAATGCATCTGAAATTAATTAGAAATTGCCGGTGTGTACATGTCTACTGAATATGTACAACATACAGTGTGCATGTCTTTGTCAGCATTGATGTTATTACTTTTTGCCCATTTCAATACTAATAACTTTTTTTTTTAATCCAAAAAAATTGTTAACTATTTATATATTTTGGTATAATAGTTTGGGCCTTTATCGACACTGCTCAAAAAGGAACGCTTTGAAAACACATCAGATCTCAATGGGTAAAAATATCATGCTGGATATCTATAACTCATATGGACTGGGCAATGTGTTAGGAATGTAAGGATGCCCCATTGTTTGATGGAAATGAGAATTATCAACCTACAGAGGACTGAATTCCGACACCCTGAAAATCAAAGTGAAAAAAATGATGCAGCAGGCTAGTTCATTTTGCTGAAGTTTCATTGCAGCAACACAAAATGGTACTCAGTAGTTTGTATGGCCCCCACGTGCTTGTATGCATGCCTGGCAACATCAGGGCATGCTCCTAATGAGACGATGGATGGTGTCCTGGAGTATTTCCTCCCAGTCTGGACCAGGGCATCACTGAGCTCCTGGACAGTCTGAGGGTGCAACCTGGTGGCAATCTGATGGACCGAAACATGATATCCCAGAGGTGTTCTATTGGATTTAGGTCAGGCAAGTGTGGGGGGCCATTCATGGTATCAATTCCTTCATCCTCCAGGAACTGCCTGCATACTCCTGCCACATGAGGACAGGTATTGTCGTGCACCAGGAGGAACCCAGGACCCACTGCACCAGTGTAGGGTCTGACAATGGGTCCAAGGATTTCATCCCGATGCCTAATGGCAGTCAGGGTGCCAGTGTCTGGCTTGTAGAGGTCTGTGTGTTCCTCCATGAATATGCCTCCCCAGACCATCACAGCCACCAAAACAGTCATGCTGAACAATGTTACAGGCAGCATAACGTTCTCCATGGCTTCTCCAGGCCCTTTCACGTCTGTCACATGCGCTCAGGGTGAACCTGCTCTCATCTGTGAAAAGCACAGGGTGCCAGTGGTGCACCTGCCAATTTTGGTGTTTAATGGCAAATGCCAATCGAGCGCTATGGTGCCCGGGGCAGTGAGCACAGGGCCCACTAGAGGGTGTTAGGGCCTCAGACCACCCTCCATGAAGTCTGTTTTTGATTTTTTTGGTTAGAGACCTTCACACCAGTTGCCTGCTAGAGGGCTTTGGCAGTGCACATCCTGTTCCTCCTTGCATAATCCCAGTCCTGATAGGTTAAGGACCTTCTACGGCCCTATCCAGCTCTCCTAGAGTAACTACCTTTCTCCTGGAATCTCCTCCATGCTCTTGAGACTGTGCTGGAGACACACCAAACCTTCTGGGGTTGGCACATATTGAAGTGCCATCCTGAAGTAGCTGGACTGCCTATGCAACTTCTGTAGGGGTCCAGGTATCGCCTCATACTTCCAGTAGTGACACTTACCCTAGCCAAATGCAAAACTAGTGAAAAACAGTCTGAAAAGATGAGTAGGGGAAAAAAAAGTCAGTGAGACTAACCTCAAAACAGGAATGGGTTTTACAGGTGGAAGCCTGTAAAACCATTCCTGTTTTGAGGTTAGTCTCATTGTTGCTCATCTAGTGCACCTGTTTTTTAATTTCATTAGCTACAAAGCAGCTGAAACTGATTAACAACCCTTTCTGCTACTTAAAGTGTTACTAAACCCACAACAGTAAAATCAGTCTGTATATGCAGTAAAGCATGCTTGTTATACTCACTGTGGAACCTAAGGGGTTAATCCTCTGCATTGTGTAAAAAGGCCGATAGACCATGACTTCTCTGCTCCTCCTCTTGTTCAAATGTCCACGTCTTATCTCCTGATAAGACAGACTGAACTGTAGCCATTCTGCACATGCTCAGTTTGTGTATTGCTAGAGAGGCTTGTTTTTTTTTTTTTTTTTTTGGGAGAGTGCATGTGATCAGCACAGGGCTGATCAGCACTGTCCAGACAGAGGTCAGGGGTTTTGCATCCTCCGAGAGCAGAAAGAAAACTCCTCCTACAAGCTTTAACCAGTGCTCTGCTGAATGCTGATAGAAGTCACACGACTGCTCAAACTGCTGATGAGAAAAGGTATTTACCAGTTTATATTTACTAAAGTAATTGCACTTCCATGTTCTGTGTACTGTGGGAGATCAGATATAGAGGATGCAGGGTCCTGGGTTTAGTAACACTTTAACTGACCAGATCAGTATCCCAGGAGTTTAATTGACTTGATGTTATACTCTGATTTAAAAAGTGTTCCTTTAATTTTTTTTTCAGCAGCGTATGAAGCGCATCCTTCTCCTTGGTTCCTGAGAGCTGCCCAGCAGTCATATTAGTTATTCAGAATAATGTGTTTGGGATTCTCTGATCTGTATTCACTTTCTTTCACAGTTGAGAACCTGCGGTGCCCTGAGCCTGTTAAGATTACAGTAATGTGGTATCTGATGCATTACATTTGCTACAATAAGTTTTCCACCATTGAGGTAAGTGTTTCACTGATAATCCCAAGAATTTTGCTGTGTTAAAGAATAATTTCATGCATGGGTGTTTTTATAGTTACATTGGTCCAGCTTGGAACAGTGCAACTGCTCTTTGTATATTCCATACCTTGCCAAAGCTGGAAATTGCTGAAGTACGCAGCTACTCCAGTAATCTCCACTTGCTTCTGGGTCCTGTGCTGAGCGGCTGCATTTCTGCTCGCTGAACTCAGGAGGTCTGCCAATCGGCATAGCACCATTCAAAGGATGCTTCACATTTTCTGAACAAATGCAAAGCAGTCTCTGAATGGCAAATTTAGTCCACATAATCCAGCGCTATATAGCAATGACGCCTTTATTCAACAGGTCTGTGTGTGTGTTTGATTTCCAAGGCTCTTACCAGATTAATTGACCCATATACAAATAAATGGGTCAAATAGAGCTTTTATTCTCCAAACTGTTTCCGTGTTTTCTCTAGTTGTTTTCTTCATACATCCTCATGTGTACCCAGAAAGAAAAAACGTGTATTGTGTAGTACCCAAAATCACATAGAAAATATTCTCTCAAAATATGCTCACATGTATATTTGATAGCATGCCACACACATGTGCGCTTGATAAACACATATGAACAGTTTTTGAATGGCGCCTGTACTGGGTGGCCCACTTTCTGTGCTCTGAATACAGCAGGCAGCTGCTTGGCATGGAACTCAGAAGCTAATGGAGATCACTGGAGTTGCAATGCCTAATTTAGTGATTTCCTGCTTCCACGGGCATTAGCCAGGTATGGTAAAAAATACCCATACATTTTTATTAATGAATGTGGGCCATTCAATTGTTTCTGCATTTAATAATTATCCATACTTTAGAGAGTAAGTAAGACAAACTCGTGCAGTTTGTTCAATGTTTGGAAAAACCTTTGCAGTTATAAATATGATACTCAGTGTGAAAAATCTTAGCAATAAGTCAAATGCATGCTTAAAGTGAAACCCTGCCAAGATCGTGCACACTAAAGTACTTGTATACTCCAGGCAAACAGTAACCGTGCTTTAAATCAATCCCTCACTCATCTCTGTTTCTATAGGCATTGTGTAAAAATTAATCTTCAAAGTTCACACCATTACCATGTAAGCCTTTTCCTGTTAGAGAAGACCTTTGCGGCCTGCCAGCCGTCTGATGTAAAAACAAACAGCGGTTGTTTCTAAGCTGTTGGCAATGGTTTAAACTGACTTTGGGGGTCTTTGTTGTGATCTTTGAAGCACTTTGAAAATGAATAACTTTACATTAAGGGTTGGTTCACACGATAGAAGCGCAGTCCAGATGTGTTCTGGATGCGTTTCTGCATGCTTGTTTTTTTTTTTTATGCATTTTTTTCACGTTCCGGTGCATTTTTTTGTGCGTTCCTCCCCCCCCCCCCCTTTTTTCTTCCATTTAAACCACTTGCCTACCAGGCACTTATACCCCCTTATTTACCAGGCCAATTTTCAGCTTTCAGCGCTGCCGCACTTTGACAATTGCGCGGTCATGCAACATGGTACCCATATGAAATTTTGATCATTTTTTTCTCACAAATAGAGCTTTCTTTTGGTGGTATTTAATCGCCACTGGGCGCTTTACTTTTTGCGCTATAAATAAAAAAAGTGCAAAAAATTTGAAAAAAAAAAAAAAAAGTTTCTTTGTTTCTATTATAAAATTTTTCAAACAGGTAATTTTTCTCCTTCACTGATGTGCGTTGATGAGGCGGCACTAATGGGCACTGATAGGCAGCACTAAAGGGCACTGATAGGCAGTACTAATGAGGTGGCACTGATAGGCAGCACTAATGAGGTGTCACGGATAGGCGGCACTAATATGCAGCACTGATAGGCGGCACTGATGGGTGACACTGATGATGGGTACTGATAGACGGCACTGACTGGCACCACTGCTGGGCACTGACTGGCACCACTGCTGGGCACTGACTGGCACAACCGCTGGGCACTGACTGGTGGCACTGACTGGCAGCACTGGTGGGTGGGCACAGGTGGGTGGCACTGGTGGGCACAGGTGGGTGGGCACAGGTAGGTGGCACTTCTGGGCACAGGGGTGTGACACTGCAGAGTGGCACAGGTGGGTGCACTGCTGGGCACAGGTGGGTGATCTGCTGGGCACAGGTGGGCGGAGCAAGTGGGCGCACTGCTGGGCACAGGTGGGCGGAACTTGCGGGTGGCACTGCTGGGCACCGATCATCAGGGCACTGATCATCAGTGCCCTGATGATCGGTGCCGATCCCCGCTCTGACAACTGCCGGTTCTCGGCAGTACTTTCCTCACGATCTGACAGCGTGAGGAAAGTGCAGCCGAGAATCGGCACTTGCATTTCCCTCTGATCAGCGTGTCATTGGACACCGCTGATCACGTGGTAAAAGGCCGCTGTGATTGGCCTTTTACCACATCACGTGATCAGCTGTGTCCGTAGGACACAGCGATCACGGAGATCGCTGGATCGCGCCCCCTGGTCCACCCAGAACTGGCCGGCCGCAGTGCAGCCGTCATTGGCTATCTGCGGTCGGCAACTAGTTAAATAGGGTCATGCACATTCCAGTGCATTCTGGTGCATTTTTTTTATGCTTTTTACCGCTTTCCAGTACAGTTCTGTGCAGAAAAACTGAAGCCTGTCCTTTTTTTTTTTTTTTTTTTTTTTTTTTTTTTTTTTTCTGCAACCGGAACGCACTGGAACTGCAAGCACTAATGTGAACTATGACATTAACAACCATATAACCTACTTTTCTGTGCATTTTTGGATGCAGAAAAAAAACACACTGAAATGCATGTAGTGTGAACTGGCCCTAAAACATAGCTAGGGTGATGACTAAAGATTGTTTAATGTCCATAGGCTTTTAAAGCCTACATTTAGCAAAGAAAACCTATTCAGCACAAGGGATGTTGCTTTTACCTTCAGTTGGATGTGCTCCTTGTGCTGCTGTGTCCCACTTTTAGATGAAATCTTCCTCCTGTGATGTCCCCCTACCCTGCAGTAATCTTCTGGTGCGGCATGGGTAAATACAGCTAAGGGGCCTTCACAAGCTATCATTAAGATACCTGATTATACCTGTGGCCCACCCTTTTCACCTAGCTGCTCCTTGTACAGAAGCCATACTACAGCTTCTATGCATGGAACACAATCTTAAGAATGTAGGACAAACAGGTTATTGATAGTTCTTAGATCCTGTTTCATTCATAGAAGCTACAGCTACGGCTGTCTCTTCTGGGCTCTTGCATCTAGACCCAGCTTCATCATTCATAGAATGAAGTGATTGGGTGGAAGGGGTTGGAATGCGGACTTGGCATCAAGGGTCTAGATGCAAGAGCCCAGAAGAGACAGCTGGACAGCAATGATGGCGGATTTGCTGGTCGTGTACATGGGAGGACACAGTGGAACACTGATCGCTGTACAGGACCTCTGTGTGAGGTCCCGATCATGTAATCACTGATTGGCCAATCAAAGATCACATGAATAGTAGTAAGCAAAATGTCACTTCTGACATCATTGCTTAATACTAGTGAAATCTGTGAATGATCACAGAGGCCACATGGTACAAGGTTATTCACAACAGCCTTGTACCATGTGACAAGCTGTGACCTATCACAGCTCTCTCAGTATTTCTCAATGGCTGCTAGAATGCAGTCAGAGAGAAGGATAAATTATTGCTTTTACAGCCTTTTATGGGTGTAAAAGCTATCAGTGTAAATGGTGACACTGTACTGCTAGGGTGGGAGTATGTTTTAAAAAAAAAAAATATATAAAAATGTAAAATATTTTTTGAAACATTATAATTTTTTTGTTATAAAATAATTTGGGTTTTTTTTTTTTTTTTTTTTACTAAAAAGATAACTGAATAAATTTTAGCCAAGATTTATGATGAAATACTATTTATTTACAAAATTTTCTAAGAAAAACACTTTTTTCAAAATTGTTGGACTTTTTCATTTACATAGCAAAAAAATAAAGATCCCAGTGGTGAATAAATACCACCAAAATAAAGTTTTATTGGTCTAAAAAAAATGCTAAAAATTCATATGGGTACAGTGTTGCATGACCGCGCAATTGTCATTCAAAGTTTGATAGCACTGAAAGCTGAAAATTGGCCTGGACAGGAAGGAGGTAAACGTGTCTGGACTTGAAGTGGTTAAGTTTTATTTCTGGGAGTTAGCCAAGGGGTCACATTATCAAATTACTGATTGATGTAGAACATTCAGACTTCAGTGGAGGTAATGTGGGAATATTATTTTTCTCATTTACCATGTGGCAGGTGTATTTTTCTTTTTTAATCTATTTCAGGCATGTCAGAATAGAAGTCTTGCAGTGGTATAACTGTGTTATTGTCCTACTTTGTTAGGTTTGTAATATTGGCAATCACCTTCCTTTTTATAGATTTCCATTAATATTTAGATTACACAAATCATTCTTTCTTTTACTTTATTAGGAGGCTCTTCAAAATGATAATGTGCACACACATATGGATGGACAGAATAATGAAAATGCTAGAGAGATTGCCTGTGATAAAACAACTCACTCCATAACATTGCAGAATGTAAGTACGGTGCTCTTCTCTGTTTAGAAAATGCAGTCGTTACTTCAAAAAAGTTATAAGAGAAGCATGAAGTCTGCAGTTGCTGAGCTCTCTTTTTAAAGTGTTATTAAATCCAGGACCCTGAATTCACTCTATCTGCTCTCCCACAGTGCACATAACATAAAAATATGATTAGTTTAGTAAACATAAGCTGCCAAATACCTTTTCTCATCAGCAGTTGGAGCGGTCTTGTGACTTCTATCAGTGTTCAGCAGAGCACTGGTTAAAGCTTGTAGGAGGAGTTTTTCTTTCTGCTCTCGGAGGATGCAAAACCCCTGACCTCTGTCTGGATAGTGCTGATTGGCCCTGTGCTGATCACATGCACTCTCCCAAGAAAAAAAAAACAAAAAACCTCTCTAGCAATATACACCAAACTGCAGGGTGTCTCCACACTAATGTCTTATCAGGAGATGAGAGGGGGACACTGGAAGAATGGGAGGATCAGAGAAGTCAGGATTAAACAGCATGTTTACACAATGGAGGATTAACCCCTTAGGTTCCACAGTGAGTATATCTAACATGCTTTGACTGATTTTACTGTTGTGAGTTTAGTAACACTTTAAGCTCTCTTTAAGATTGTAGCTGCGTTGAGATGACCCTCTTTCCTCACTGATTTTAGTCACTGATATGAAAACAATAAGCAGATAATGACTAACACTTCTGTAACTTTTCTAAATCTGTGTCAGTGATTCAAAAAAGTGGTAAAGTTAGTGTGCCAACATAGCAGCCATTCGGTTAAGCACAGAGCTAATCAGTGGCAGCTGTCCCTTTCCCCACTTCCTGCATCTTTCATAAAAAGTTCACTTTTAACCCTTTTGCTGTCAAAGCCATTTTTGCGCATGTTTAAAAAATAACTTTAGGTCTGAAGATTGCATAACCCCCCCCCCCCCAAAAAAAAAAAAATTATATATTTTCTGAAAGCAGACACCCTAGAGAATAAAATAGTGGTAGTTACAATGTTTTATGTCACACAATATGACCACAAAGGTCTAGGAAATGCAACATTTTAGAAAAAAGAGCCCACTAATTTTAGGGCACACCAACACAATAAATTACCCAATGTTTTGGTAAAATCAGAAAGATGACATTGTACGGAATAAATGGATACCCAACATGTCAAACCAGGCACCTGTTTCCAGGGTGCGTGTAAGCAATCCAGCACTGCCAGAGGCATCAGACTGCTTTCATCTGACTGTCAGCAGTCTGTCAGATATGCAAGATGCTCCCAATGGCTGCAGCCATCAGGAGAGTGTGTGTAAAACACCTTCCACCATTTTTTGACAAACAGAAGTGCAACTTTAAGACCTAGAAAAAAAACCTGTAAACTATTGTCTGTAATGCCATTGCACATAATGCCTGAATATAAAAACTTTAACAGGTCTATGTTCATAATGAAAACAAGGAACAAGGAATATCTTTATAAATAAAACCAAATAAACCAGAATATTGCTTTTTGACCACTGTTAATTTTGACATCAAATTTCAATTTAGTTTGATAGTCTTTTGACTAAAATGCTTTTTAGTTTTAGTCATATTTTAAGCATATGAATTTAGTTTTCGTCACTGAAAACATGCAGCTGATGAAAACTATAATGAAAATATTTTCGTCTATGAAATTAACACTGGTGCTGTGGCCTGCCCAGGGCTGGACAGTATTTATATCCAGCAACAATGCCAGTAGTCTGCTAAAAGGATGCCTTGACCATGTGTGGTGTGTATTCTATTCTAAGGAAGAGGGATATATGTTTTGTTTGTCAGTGCATTTACCCTTTAACTAACTTTTTTTAAAATGAGGCTTAACGCAGACTTTTGAACGTACTGTTTTATAGCAGCTAAGACAGTGTTCACAGTTGTCAAGCTGACTGCTTTCTGTTGTAAGTGTAAAGCTTACTCAATCATTTCCACACATCTGGGAAGGTCGGCCACCTATGTATCAGCAAAGCGGTATTAAACCCAAAAACCAAAATATAATATTACGGCTTGACAATCATTAATATAGTAGTGCCTGTATTGCTTTTTTTTCACCTGGTGATCCTGAGAGTAATGCACTGTACTCTTCTAGTCTTAAGGTGGCTCCACTCTAGATGGAGTAGCAAAGAAACATCTTTGGGCGACAGCATTGTCAGTCTGGGCAGAGGGTAGTGTTGGATGCACTAGCAGAAAAACAAACTCCAGCTTTTTAGGCAGTTATAGCAGCAGTTTATTTCCTTTTGAGGTAAACGTTATACTTAAAGAAAAACTTTACGCATAACAATTGATAAAAAATAATGTTCTTTAGCAAGGATTACATTCCACATGAATAATTATGCAGCCAAGATTAGTGTATGCTGTAAATTGTCTCCATCATTGCTCTTTTTTTCTTTTTGCTGGAGGCTGCCATTTTGTTGAAGCCCAGAGCCTCTGAGCAGCAGTTTAAAGCTGAACTAAACCCTCCTATCCTCTTCAGCAAAGGAAGCTGCCATCTGTTTAAACTGCAACTGTCACGGTGCTGCCCATGTTATCTATTATGACATCAGACATTTGATGGTTTGACAGTTTGGTTGAGAAAACAATCAAATGTGTCTAATTTTAGCATTCCTGGCATGTAACTGTTTATTTTCTAAAACTGTTAAATTGATGGGTTTAGTTCTGTTTTAATCTTTAGACCGTCAGCAGATCATCAGCCTCTACATCTCGGCACTGCCTAAAAATGGACATAGCTATACCTGCAAAATGGGACAGCCTGAGGTGATCTAACAGGACTTCATTTTCTGACTAAAGTTCCACTAGTGAGGACCACAAGGAAAGAAGTGAGGGCAACAAGGAGCCCAAGAAATAAAACCGATTGGTAGTTACTCTAAAAAGGTTTCCTCCTAACATTCTGCTGTTCCAGATAACCTGTGATTTTGTAGTAAACCTAATGCTTAAGTGGGCATAACTTTAATCCCTTGTCTACCATGGTGTGTTATATAAGGGGGCTTAAAGCAAGCCCATCTCTGCTGCTGCAGCCATGAGCTTGCTGTTGTTGCTTGTAAAATCAATTTTGCGGCTAGGATTGCTTTTACAAGAGACTGACCATTGGCTATAAAAAAAACAGTACTGGGATGGTGCCTGCAGCTGCGGGCATCAACCCAGTATAATCACTTGAAGTCCAGCGATGTACGTTTATGTCGCTGGTCGTCAAGCGGATACAGTCCTTACAGTCCCCTCCCTTGATGTCAGTACTCTTCTTCATCCTGAGAGGACCTTACTGCTGGACAGTCTATAGGAAGTGTCCAGGTTATGCAGTCAGTGATGTGGACACTCAAAGGTAAACAAAACAGTGAAGATTCAGGACCTGAGTGTTATGTGGCTGCGGCTTTTGGTAACTAGTGTGTTTTTGTTTTTTTTTTTTTGTTTTTTTGGCAGAAGAGACTGCATATTCTGCCAAAAAAAACTTTCCCCTAGCATTTTTTTCATACTTGCACAGTGTACTTTACACTTCCAGCCCATTCCTTCAATGTGTAAGATGTTGAAAAAGGAGCGAAATACTAGGATGGTTTAACTCCAGCATGCAAGCGTTGCACCATCAGTGACTGTCCAGTGACCAAAGGGAGAAGACATTAGGCTGGAAAACACAGAAGTTGACAGTGAAAAAGCGTCAATAGGAAATGTGGGGGCGGCCAGCGCTAGAGGAGGGTAAACAGAGCGAAGTCTGCCATAAGTTGTATGTATGGTTTTGTAGATATTCTCTGTCTGTAACCAGAGTTTATGCATGGTTTAGTTTATATGACAAACTGCCTGGATTTTAAAAGGTTTTTTAAATTTTTTATTCTTTTCCTCATGACAGTCAAAGTTGCAAGATGCACAGCACACTGGAATAGAGGTATGTCCACTGTTTTTTTGAAAATCTTGCTCTTTGTGCTTTAGATTGATCTCTAGCATAATGGAGATGTTTTGTTGTTCTGCCATATATAGAACTAAAGGTGAAACCTTATTTTTTTTCATTGTGGGTAGAGCAAGGGTTATACCCCTTATTAGTTTTTTTTTTTTTTCTCATCTGTGTCCCATTGGAGAGATTTCCCTTCACTGTCTCATAACTAAAAACAGGAAGTAAGAGAAAATCCCTCCAAAGCAAGGAATCCCTTGGTTGTCACTAGGGTCATCAGAACTACAGAACTAGTGTCCCTATTAGAAGATTTCCTCTCTATTCCTGTTCTGCTAACAACCCAAAATGTTCTCTTTCACTCTTGGTGAGGATGGACAAATAAACTTGATTACTTTCCCTAACAGGGACACTGCAATAAAAACCTGGTAGGTAGTCTAACCACTACCTATTCAATCCAAAACTTTAAAAAAAAAAAAAAAAAGCTTTGCCTATAGAATTTTTAAAAACTTTTGTTTAAAGCTGCGCCCTGGGATAAGGGAATATGATCTAAATACAAAGTTCTTCCTTGAATCTTGGTCTACTTTGTCTGTTTCTTTCAGATCTGTGCATTAATCCAGTGTGAAACTTTCCCTCTGTGCAGGAGTTTCCTGTAATAAAGACCACTCACTGCTGCTCTCTCCCCTTGTGCAGGGTGACTGGTCTTGTCTCTGCCCCGTCCTGTAGTTTTCTTCAGGAAGCCTGTAGTGGGTAGAGCGTGCTGGGTTCCTCCCACAGCTCTGCTCTCTGCCCAGGCTCAGAACAGCATAGTGATTTCTCAGCTACTTCATAAGGTAATATCTGGGTTTGTAAAGGCACTTGGTGCACGAATAGTAGAATTATAGCCTTTGTGGCTATTAAGGAAAATGTTTGACAATGTTTGGGCCTGGCATTTGACTTTTAACGCACCAACTAATTTGCATGCCTAAATCATTTTTATACATCTTTTTAAGACATATAATGTGTTATTTGATATAATATGGAACAACAGCGCCTCCTAGGGACTCCTTTGCTATTAATTTTAACACTGCATGTAAATTATTTGTGAGGTAGCTGCCAATTTTTTTTTTTTTTAGTTTTTTAAATGTATATTATTTGGGCACATTTTTTAATTATAATGGCGCAGCTTTATCTGACCGTTGAAATATTGACAACATGGCACTGCTTATGAACACTGATACCAGAAGGTGGCAGTGTTCACCTGCGCGTTAAAGGCTTTTATTTTCATCAGTGTAGCCCTCCGTGTGCAAGTGATCATTGCTGACCTAAAGTGCATCTAAACCCAAAAACAAAAATTTTAATATAATGCAGACCATAGTTGTTGTGGCTGTAAATAATTTTAGGATTTTTTTTTCCCTTTTTCATCTGCTGATCTGACCAGTAATACACTTTCTGTCCTAAGTTGTCTTCATTCTGAATGGAGGTGCATCATGACTACCTTTGGACAGCAGTATTGCCAAACTGGGGAGAGGATAGTGTTAGATGCACTAGAAGATTTAAAATGGACCTGGCTAACAAATTTTGGGATAAAGGTTTACCTTAAAGTGGAACGATACTCTCTCCTATGCTGCGATGTCCTAGAGCTCCCCTCCGGCTGCTCTGCTTCAGTTATTGATCCCTGTCTGTTTTCATTAGCTGGGCCGAGATGGCAGTGCATTACTGTAATTGAGCTCAGCGTACAGTGTGGAAAGCAGGTAAGGAACTTTAATGCAGAGGAGTCCTAGTATGTCCCTTCTGCATTAAAATGTGTTATATGGTTTTTTCTCAACCCTCTACTGCCACATTTGCTAGACAGCTTGGTCTGTCAAAGAAAAACTCCAGGGTAGGAAAAAAAAAAATCACCGATTAGTACACCCCCTAGTCTAAACACTAAACAGTTAATAAAATTTTGAAAATCCTTACCATTTAGGAGAAAAGTATAATTGAATTTCAATGACCTCATCTCTGTAATTCAAAAGATGACAGCATCTGCTTTGCCCAGGAGGAGGTGTAACAGCAGGGATTACATCATATCCTTTCTTCTCTCTGCAGTAAAAGGAAACTATGTTTCCCATCAATCATAGGATATTGTAGTAGATGTGGGTGGGTACACTAGGCCTGTACATGTTAAGTGTCTGAGAGTCCTGGTCTACCCACCAATGCAGGTGGGTCTGAATTACATCATTGCTTCTTGGAGAAAGAACTACAGAAGGGATGTGCCAAGAACAGTGGCTGTGGGAATAGGAGGCATAGCAGCCACTGCTCTTACAAACAGGAAACCAAAGAGAATTAACTGTTTAATTGGAAAATGAATAGGCTATTTCAGAGCAGCTACTGAGTGAACCAAAAGATGGATGACATTCAGTGAAGGTAGGAAATTGGCAACAAGGACATGCAAAGTTTTTGCCCAGAGTTCTGCTTTAAAGAAAGTTGAAAAATAACAGATTTGCTGATTGTATCAACAGGTGAAAGTAAAGCTTAAAGTGGTTTTAAACCTCAGACATGAAACCTGAACAAGGCATATATTTATTATTATTTTTTTTTTTACTAGCCTCTATCCAGATCACTGAACGCCACTTCTCTGTCCTGTCCAGTTCCTCTGTTATCAGCATGAGTCACTTCTGTCAAGTTTTCCTGACACCAAGAGGTAAAAAGGTGACCAGGGAGAAACGTCCATAACACAGCTTGTGATTGACAGCCACAGCTCTGTTCCTGTGTGTGCTGTGAAGGGGGTTATGTCCCTTCCCTCCAGTCAGCTCTTAGAGCTCTTTTGCAGTGTGTAACTGCAGCTCCTCGCCCCCTGCGTTGTGCATCTGTGAAAAATCCTTTTCACCTCCTAGTTTTTTTACTAGGATGTGTAGGACGAATGGCTGCAAATGAACAGTTATAACTTTGTGTAGGAGGATTTGTTTTACCTCTGTGTGTCACCTAAGGCCAGTAACTTCACTGGGTATAGAAAAAAGGTTTACAACTCCTATAAAAAAAGAAAATGAATACAGCCACCACATTTAAGAATTGATGAGCTGCAATATATACATTTTTGTTTTTGGGTTTTGTACGGCTTTAAAGATCAACTATGGCCAAAATAAAAATGACATATGATGCAGTCTGTCAATAGCATTAACATAGCAGACTTTGTTTTTCTGAATTCCCCCTGTAACTTGATTTATTACCTGATGATCTAGCCAATAAGTCTGTTGTTTTTCAACTTCCTTTAGCAGGCCAAGTTGTCCAGTAAAATTAGCAGTTAGAGGTTTGAGACCAACCCACATATATGGGTGCTTATAATTTAGCTTTTAATCATTTATGTGAAACCTTTCTTTCAAAATGTAAAGAACTATTGCTGTAATTGCTTAAAAAGTGTTAGCTGCAGTTCAGCTTTAAATTGCTAGCCACTTTTGTAAATCTGCTAGTCCATCCAGCACCAGCCTCAGCTGACAATGCTTCTGTCCAAGGGAATCTACATTTCTCTACAGACACAATGCACCCACCCTAAGACAGTAAGTGTGTTACTGGCTGATCACCAGATGAAAAATAAAAAAAAAAAAACCTTGGAAAAAGAAATGATGCAGCCACCACATTCAATGATTAGGAAGCTACAATATATTAAATTATCGATAGATTCTCCCATCCATGCTAATGGTGTGGATGAAGGTATCTTAAATGCCAAACATTATATTCAAGCATTTGGTGCTGCTAAACAGTGACTGCATCTGATGGTATATAGTCATTGTTTGGCCTATAATTTTCCACCTAGCATAGTTGATTTTTAAATTGACATTTTAGTGAACTGGGTAGAGCTTGCAGGCTTATAAACAGCTTGGCTTTCAATCCGTTCAACAGGAATTGTCCCAATTTCCAGCAGTCTGTGATTCCTTTAGGCTCGGCTTACACTGCTGAAACCCCATCTTGCTTGTAACTTCCTTGTGACTTCCTTGCCACCTGCTTGCAACTTTTGTGATTTAACATTGCAGTCTATGGCACTCAAGTCCCAGAAAAGTAGTGCAGGATTTTATTTTTTTTTAAGCGACTTAAGTCACTTTAAGACCGCACCCTTTGAAATGAATATGTTTTGACTTGTCATGTGACTTTGTTTCGCACGTTGCATGTAAGTCACAGTAGTGTGCAGGTGATTCTTGATCATTAGTGAAGAGGAACCCAGCTATCATTGACAGCCATCATTAAAACCCAACAGTCTTAAGTGTTGCCTTCTGAGGCTCAAAGGGGAAAACATATATATTAATGTATCCTCAGCATGCGGTGTTTTTCCAGGGAACATACAGACTCTGAGCAATGTGTGCTTTGACCATGCTTGGATTTACTATTTATTTCTGAGCATATAGGTTTCCCAGTATTAAGTTTATCTGTTTAACTACTTGCTAACCGCGCTATAGCCTAATGGCGGCTACAGTGCGGTTGTCCAGTTCTGGGAGGGAGTCTTATAATGTCCTCTCAGAATACACCCTCCCGTGCACCCCAGCGATCTCTGTGTCCTACAGACACAGCTGATCACATGATGTGGTAAAAGGCCAATTACAGCGGCCTTCTACCACATGATCAGCTCTGTCCAATGACACAGTAGATCATGGAGTAAATACAGTTGCTGGTTATCGGCAGCACTTTCCTCACGTCGCAGCGTGAGGAAAGTACTGCTGATAACCAGCAACTGTCACAGAGCAGATCGGCACTGATCATCAGGGCAACGGACAGAAATGACACTTGGCGCTCATGATTGAGACAAGTACACACTATGGAGGGATATGGTATGTTCATATTTCACGTCTGAGGTTTACAGGTAAATTTTTTTGAGGGAGTCATAGCCAACTTTCCTGCAGCTGTTAATGTTATGCAGTGAAATATTTTTCTTTTGTGTTGACATGCTTCAAATTTGATTGTACAATGTTTCTCAATTAGTGTGTGTATGTGTGCGCTCATAATTCACATATACCTTTTCATTGTTTTTAGAATAAGACCGATTCGAAGACCAATCCTTTTCTTTCCAATTCAAAGGTAAGGAGAAAAAACAGGCGGGTTGCACATATCAGTTACGTTTCTTTGTGGAAACCTTGCTTGTTGTTAAGGAAACAGATTTCACCTGCAAAATGTTAGCTGCTGGACAGCATGTTTATTGAACCCCTTAGTTTGTTTTTAGGCTCTACTAGCCATTTTTACATGTAGTCCTTTTGTAAGTAACCCATGCATTTTTCATTAGCTTCCTCTATATTCTGACTTTTTTAATTTAATTGTAGTTTTCATTAGGATTTCATGGCAAGTTGATTGTCAGAAATATTAACACTTGTGTTACCATGTGTATTTCTCAGGCTTTTGCTGCTCAAACATCGCAAGATGGGCCCTTTATTTTTGTGGTTTCTATAAAATCCGAGCAGAGTGCTGCAGAATGGAGTTTATCAGGTATTACCCTTTTAAAATGTGGTGGTCTTATGGGGTTCAAAACCTTTTTTTTTTTTTTTTTTTTGGGTTCCACTGACACAGGAAAGAAAATTTAATATTGTCCAATAAGAAAAAGCAAAAAACCTGAAAAGCTTTAACCATTACCAAGTCTGCCTTGAGAAAGAAGCAGACAAAAAAAAAGAAAATATCTATTTAAAAAAAGTTCCACTTTGAGGGTGCATTCACACCTGTTAATGTACTTGCCCTCCGATCAGATGCAAGTATCCCAGCAGGTTCCCATGATTAGCTGCTGGAGGCAGCTCCATTGAAAGCGATGAGAGGCTGCCAGCTGCTGCAGCTAATCCCAGCCATTTGCATGTAATCACTCACTGCAGGGCCCTGCACAACCATTTTTTATAATGGCATCCAGAGTCCTCTTCCTCCAGCGCATGCGGATACCAGCCATATTCATTCCTATTGGGGGAGCTATACTCTGTTGGACTGCTGGCGGCCACCACGAAGTACGGCTTCCATTATGAATAAATGGGGCCTCAGCGCCCATATGTAGGATTGAGTGACTTTTTTTCTGAAGGAAAGCTGTGTGTGGTCTTGTGCAGGATTGCATAAAGGATAAGTACACCTTTTGTAACATGTTACACCCCCGCTCCCCCAAACATGGACATGGTAGGCTACACTTGGAGTTTGGATATGCATTAAAACCTGATATAAGTAACGTTTTTCTTTTAAATATGGCCCCATGTGTGACTTTGAGAACACTCAAAATCTATTATGCATCACTGCTACCAGTTGGGTTATATGAACCTCGCATGCGTCAGGTTGCCTGTGACAATTGATTGCTTAGAACACTAAGCCTAAGGTTCCGTTCACACCTATGCAGTTTGCTTTTTGTTCATTTTGCAGTGCTTTTTTTGCAGTTCATTTTGCGGTTTTCTACACATGGTTTTTATGCGTTTTTACCGCATTTTGGTTTTTGTTCAGTTTTTTTTTTTCTTTTTTAAAGTGGAATTGTTTTGTGGCTGGGCAGAATAAAAATGCAAAACGCAGCAAAAATGCACTACCATGCATTTCAGCCGCTTCTCCATTGATCTCTATTGTAGCAAAAAAGCCCCTGACCCTTTCCAAAAACGCAGAAGCTCAAAAAAGCATAGATGTGAGCATGTTCCATAGGAAACCATGTTAAATGGACTGTGGTGCGCTTTTGCAAAAAGCACTGAAAAACGCATTGGTGTGAACAGAGTCCAAGTCAGATGGTATTCAAAGTGAAGTCAAACTAAAAATCCCATAAATGCATTCAAGATAGATTGAAAAGGCTGTGTGGCTGTGCATTAGCAGCCAGTTTCAGTTATTATGTATGTTTTTAATATTGCTGGTCATCTTCATAGGTGCCTATTTAGTTGACCTCAGGTGGCTGATTGAAAACATTTCATTTATAAATGTTTTAAAGCATTTTTGTTTTTTTCTGTTTTTTTTTCCTGACCAGTTTATACCTCAATGGAAGGTCCTCATGGGTACATTTCTGCTTCAGAATGGCCATTAATGATTGTAAGTATGCTGACCTAATGAAGAAATGCCATGACAAAAATGATGCTCAATGTAAAAAAAAAACTGTTTAAATGGAGCCTCTGGAAAATATGTTTTGCCATTCGCAGTAACAGATAATTTTATTATCTATATCATTTTTTTCTCCAAAACAGCAGACGTGCTGACTACTACAGCACAATTTGTAACAGAGCCACGTGAGGCTTTTCTTAATCATGCATTACAAAGCTCATTTAGTAGTGTATAGCATTCAGTGACAGTCCAGTACTGTTGAGGTCTTGTTGCAGTGGTTCACAACACAGAATTTCTTTTCTTGTGAGATGAAATGGGTTATTGTGTTAAAACTGTTGCTGAGCTCGCTACAACACATTGACACATTACCCTTTTTTCTGTAGAACGCTAAGAGTATGCCAAAAACCACAATTCGTTTTATACCTTTGCTATTTATGGTTGTATCTAAAGTTTTGTTAAGACATTACGTTTATGTTATTGTAAGGCTGTTTTTATCACCTTCTTATTGCAAGGTTACAGCGAGGACTATGCTTTTGAACAAGTTTACAAAAGGTGCCTCTAAGTAAACTACATTTTTGTGCATAATTTTAACTGTTGGCAAAAAGCTGCTTCATTGTATGATTAGAACTGTCCTTTTTTCAGTTTAAAGTCCCACTGCACTAGGAGAAAAGTTTAAATTTGTTACTGTCTGAAACACATATGTTAGTAGGCAACTTGCTTACTAAGGGAATGACCGTGAAAGGTGAACTTCGACCACCTAAAAAGTTGTAAACTACATGTGGCCATTTACAGTGCTGTGATATTTTGCTCACTTTTCTTGCTCCTGTAATGGATCATTAGCCTTTCCACCTAACTTCCAGAGAATGATGTTTGTTCTCCACTCCCATGCAGCATCAGTACCAGTCCCAAAACCCACCTTCCTGTATTATTGGACAGTCTGCATACCATCCATGGTCCACAGAGCACCCCTCAATTTCCTGGAGCTGACAGCTGTGTCCCTTTGTTGCATAATTGAAGTTTTGAGATTTAACAGTTAAAAAAAACAAAAACAAAAAACGGAGGTATGGAAATCAAACATACAAGAGGTGAGGCTGTTAGGAAGTGCAATATCAATGGCCTGACATTGGGGAGTTTGCTGTAACCATGTGAAGCATATATAGGATTTGCAGCAGAAACCGGATGGGAAATGTAACATTGCTAAATGTGGTTAGCAGTTGCATTATATGGTTGTTGCCTTCATTGAGATCCTCCCATAAGGCTTGCGCAGGAGAAGTGCCCAATGACCTGATCTAGGCTAGAGAAGGTATGATTTGAGTGGATGTCTTAAATATCTAAGTGGACCTAGTTTGAATGAAATGCTTTGGTTGTCATCGTGTGTCACCTATTGTGCCATTCACTTGTGTTCCAGCTGCTGTATCCATTCAGACAGAAATGGTGCATGCACTGACCACCAGTGGTGCAGTATAATTGCCCTAGTTTGTTAGAAAATGTTTTAACAGAACTTTGTAGAGGATTTGATGGGAAAGAAGTGTAAGAAAAAAGGAATATTTGGTATAGCCTCTGCTCTGTTTGAAGTCCATAATGGATTTCCAGAGGCACTTAAAGGTGGTGCATGACCACAAAATATGGTGAAAACACTGCCAGAAAAGATTAGGAAGTGTGGGAAGAAATATTTGCGGTCCACTGGTCACTGATGCCATCTAAGTCTCTTTTAAGGTGTTTTTTTTTTAAACTCCTGAGTGTGTGCGTGATAAGATGAAAATGTTCTTTTCCGAGTCTGTTTGAAAGGGGGGCTTTTTTTAGCTCTCGTTCACAGAGTCTGAAGTAAGAGTAGAGAAGAACTGGAAATAACAAATAGGATTTTGTATATTGGAAAGATGTAGTTCAGAGGAATACTCTGCAGCATAAAATTCCTGCAGGCAGATCAGGTTTCTGTAGAGGGGTTGTGATTAGTGAAAGGTGGTAAAAAGAGAGAAAATCAAAATTAATACTAAAGTGAGCAGCTAGCACATATGGTGTACCCACCCCATAATTAAATACATATAAATCAAATAATGCTGCGCTATAAAACAATCTATACAAATGTGTTTACCTTAAAACCAAATAACAAATGATCTCTAGATAATATGCCAGTGATATCAATATTCATAATTATTGTGTACTTTTGAAATCAATAGCTTCCAGGGTCAGTGCAAAAATAAAGCAAATTATAAAAAACAAGTGCACAGTGAAAGTGACTGTACAAGTAGTCCGTTTGAACTAAAGTCCTCACCAGTATGCACTCACCAGAACTAAGATTTATATGGTAAAAAGAGTGGATTTGTCTGTTGGAGAACTAGGATAAAATGGCTTCTGAGAAGGAATTTTAAAGAGTAAATGTCCATTGACAGGAATCTGGGACATTTGTGGATGGGATAAATATTTCCAGCTTAAAGAGCAGGGTTTATTTACTACTGGGGAAAATACGTGGTTGTGAAACAATAGAGAATTTGGTGTGGCATATGAGTTTGCCCTATGTAGTGGATAAGTGGGGGAATAGTATCTCCTCTGTTCCTAGGGCCCAAAGAGGGGAGGAAGAGGAAATTCAAGGGAGCCAGACTGTTTTTCAATAGCTGCCCAGCTCTTTTTATGGTGCCCACCATGGTCTTTCTGTGCCCCAGCAGAAAAGTTTCTGTATAGCCTTAACTTAAGTTGATATGGAGATCAGAATTGTCTGAAAAAGGTAAAAGAAGCTCAGAAGAATAACCATCTTAATAGTGTTCCTCCTGTCGCACCAAAGTAGTGTGTCTTTAGTGTAGTTTAGGAGATCCAAAGTACTTTAATAAAGGAGGGGTGTATAATTCTAGAGCGAAAAAAGAACTGTTTCTATTTTGATAATAATGATGAAACTTTTTGAATGGTGTACTATTTGAACTTCAATAGGAGATTAATTTTAAACTTTGCTATATAGCCTATTTTTTTAGCAGTGCTAGTACTAACCATGTTTTTGATATAAAATAACTTGCTTATGTAGTGCCTGGTATTTAGCTTTAAAGAAAAACTATAGTCTGGTTTTGCTGAGCACATATTTGCTTGACAAGTGGGGAGGCTGCCAGCAGAGCGCCAAAGGGGCACCACTCACAACATAAAAGGAGATTTTTTCAAGTAAAGCTTTTAAACTGGACTGTCAAGATTTTTTAAACTATGACTATAGATCTCCTTTAATGTTCACCAAAGCTGGCAAGAAGCCCAGTTTTTACATTTTTAGATGGCATTTGGAGGAGTGGGAACATCCACCCATTCACACTATTGAGTCACGGTATCCGACATTACATGTTGCATCGTATGTTGGGGTGCATGGCTAGAAAAGCAGCATGCACCTGTTTTGGTGCATGAGGCAGCCCTTTCAAATGAATGGTTGACTTAATGCAGCACACGTTAATGGGCATATACTTATGCAGCACAGTCGCCTGAATGGACCCTTAAAGCACCCCCCAATATGAAGTTGTAATTTTTCTTAAAATTATTAAGTTACAGAATTGCTTACTCTGTTGTGTGGATGTAAATATTTACTATACATTTTTGTGTATTTTTTGAGTATATATTTTTATTTTACAGTTTTACATGGTGATGTGCATAATGTACATAGTTTTTGGACTCCTGTGGTTCGGTTGGTCTGCTTGCTATTGGAAAGATTTGTTAAGAATACAGTTTTGGATAGCTGCAGTAATTTTCTTGGGAATGCTGGAAAAAGCAGTATTCTATGCGGAATATCAAAATATCAACAGTACAGGAGTATCATGTAAGTCTGTCATTTTTTTTTTTTTTTTTAATGACTTAATTCTGGTACATACATTATCACATTATGTGATCATACCTGTGTTTTAAATGTACTTCTCTTTATGTAGCACCCGGTCTGTTGGTATTTGCAGAATTGGTTTCTTCCATCAAAAGAACCCTGGCTCGGTTATTGGTCACCATTGTTAGCTTGGGATATGGTATAGTAAAGTAAGTGTTTATTTTTGTGAACATAAATTAATATCAATAAGGAATAAGACTTGCAGAGATCCATTTCTAGCATAGGGCAAATGTAGGGTGGAAGGCCTATGGGCAGAAAAATGATTTCTGTCCTCCATCAGTGCGTCCAGTTAGTTGATGCCATCATGGTTCTAGAATTTTCTGAGGTGTCTCTAGCATCAGTAGCCTGCTTATGTGTCCTATAATTGGGTATATGGTTTTCTCATAGCTGCTACCCATTCACAGCTCTATCTAAACCTTCTTGATGGGCCTCTATAATATGGAGAGTATTTTTTTTCTTCTTCAGCTGTCAGTATATACTAGGATTTATGTCTTATAAAAGGGCCATAAACAAACTAGAACTTGGTCAGTATAAAAGCATTTTAAATTTTTTGAATAAATGTCAAGGGGTTTTCAAGAACCGAAGACACAAATTAGCACTATTGAATGCAGCTATATTCTTCTTCAAGTCCTTTTTTTTATACACTCCTTTTGGCAAACAACCCTTTGTGTGAAAAGGAAAATCGATGAGACTGCTCAGATACATAATAAACACAGTACCTAGTATCTTGGGTTACGTTCATATTGGGGCATCTCAGCCACACTGTTAGCTGAACTTATATAGCCAAGCAAAACCTGAATGTTAAAATACTCTAAGGAAAATAAAAAATGTATAATAAAAAAATATGCCTCCAGAAGTATTTAATAACGCAAAGAAGGCATTCTAACGTGTGTAATGTTATTGCTAAAACGGTAAAGAGGGACTCATTTGCTTATATCATTTTCCACTCAACCATCTCCTCTACGCACCATGTGCTTGTATGGCCAGCAAAAAAGTTGCCTAACTGGGCCATGTCGGGGCACAACATATGAGATTACCCCAAGATGGATCTTAGAAATAAGTTCGTTACTAAAACGGGTCATGCATATGATAAGTCCGCTAGCTGCACATCAGAAAAAACACATTGTGTCATAAAAAGAAATAGAAACAAGGTGAGGTTTTTAATGTATTAGTCCTTATGCACACTTGACGTTTTTACAGCTGCTGTTTTTGGCTTTTGGCCTTTTTTTTTTTTTCTACAGCCAGTAAACTCCCCAGCATGTTATCCTATGTGTCCATGCGCACACAGGCTTTAATCAGCATTTTTTGGGTGGAAAAAAACTCAGAACTAGTGGGTTTCTAGAGGATTTTTATAGCTGTAAAAATGCTCTAACGCTGAAAAATGCAGCAAACTGGTGTTTTTGCCCCTATTTTTGACCAAAAAAAGTTTTTCTGTGTTTAAAAGCAATAATAATAAAAAAAAAAAAAAAAAGCTAAAAACCGCAAACATGGAAAAAGGCAGCTAAACGCTAATGGAAAAAATTGCGTTTTTAACGCGACTTTACACGTTCTTAAAACGCCCAGTGTGCATTGAGCCTTAATGTGTTAAACTTTTTAAATTCCTGACTCTCTGCAGTAGCTGCTTCATTTCACAGAGGTCTCCCTCATATTTCCTCTGCTGGCCGAATGTTTTTAGCCCATAGTGCTAGATCTTCTGTATTGGTTGACTGTTTAACTATTCTGGTTGAATGTGATCTTTTTCTCTTAGGATCAAATGTTAGGGAATGTTTTACTATTTGTGTGACTTTTGTGGAAATGCTGAGACATTCTTGTGTTTGCTTTATGTAGATGAAAGTCATTTATTGTAGTGTGAACAAGTAATGTATGTTAATATCTCAAACCTGTCTTTTTGGTCAGGCCACGCTTGGGAGCAGTGATGCATCGTGTAGTTGGAATGGGGAGTCCTCTATCTGATATTCGCCACAGTTGAAGGAGTGATGAGAGTTATTGGAGTAAGAGAAAGTCTGTTCATGTGCTTTGGTGTTTATTAAATTAGCTATGTCACTAAATTTGCTAACCTTTTCCAAAATTTACCAAGTCTGATACTGTCTTAGCAGCACAAAGAGACCCATTCCCTTTCCATAAACAGTAGTTGGACACAGGTTCTAGTTTTATTCACACTGGGGTGCAGGAGTTTAGGTAATGATTGGTGATGTAATGCCCCTTGTATAGTTATGTTGGCATGGATGTTCTACTTTGCCAGATGTCTTTCTCAGAGCCAACTGTAAGTGATCTCTTCAAATTTTACAGCTTGCCTAGAGTGGTAAATGTTGCACAGGGCTAATGATACTTATTTTGCCCCATAGAGAGGGAGAGTTTGGTTTTAGTGTACAAGAATGTGTGCTCGCTTTTATTTGAGGCCTATCTTTAGTTTCATCCGTTTTTTTTTTTTCATAGCATTCTGCTTCTAAAATATGAGTTTAGAAGTAAATGCCATAGGAGATGGCACTTTAGATTGAGCACAGCCTTGGAAATTTAAATTAGAAGCTTGAAGGAATGGTGCATAAATAGTGATGATGACAAACCACACATGCCCCTCACACTGAAGCCTGTTTTTTATTAAACAACAAAAACAAAATTGCTACAGTTTGTCAAAATATGTTAAACTAACCTGAGCATCCCTGATCCTCCTCTTCTAGGGTCCCCACTGGCCCTCCTTGCTGCTGCTCCTCCTCTCGGGGTACCACCATAGGAATCCACTTCCTAGCGTGGCACAGCTTTGGGCTTCATCCTGAGCCCGCTGCCTGTGTTCATTGACACAGACAGCACGGCTTGGCCATGCCCCCATCTCCTTCATCACAGGATTTGACTGACAGCAGCAGGAGCCAATGACTCCCACTGTTATCAATCTGTGCTGTGATGAAAGAGAGAGCCGCTGCTCTTGCACAGTAGTGGATAGAGATTTGGGCGCAGGTAAATTTGGGGTGGGGGGGGGCTGCACAAAGAAGGTAAAAAACCTTTTGTCTTTACAACCACTTTCAGGAATAATATTTTGCTTCACTCCCATTTATTAGTTTAATAAACACAGTAAGTAATCTGCAGTAGATGTTGATTGACTGCAGTATTAAATTTGTTCCAGCATACATATGTTCTCTGGAAATTGAAAAGTATGGGTTTCCATAAAATAAGTAGGAGTTGCATGAAATTATCATTGTATGTTCATGAAGCTTACTATAGAAGAGACTCAATGGGAAATGCCGTTCTTTATGCCACTTCAACCTGCAGTGCATTTAAACAAAAACAGACAAAAAAAAAAACAAGGCAAGTATGTCTTGATCAGAACAACCAAGGTGGGATATATATTTAGATCAAGATCAAGTTTGTAAGCGTCTTGACCTGGAAACAAAATTTGAAGATAGAAACCATGTAAAAGTGCCAACAATAGAAAAAAAGACAGCAGGGAAGTAAAATGAGGTTGGGGGAAGGGAATGGGAGGGTGAAATAGTGACTCTAAGTACCCTTTTGGTCTTATTGTACTCAGAGCTCTCTTCCCAGAAGAATGTACAAGATTAATCTTTTTCCAGGAGCAATATAGGTTGTGATTTATGTACACATTTTATGTATATCTAAACCTTAGTTCACAAGTCAAGTGGTTTTAAATACACCTCTAAAGAGCTATCTACAGTAGGTTGTTTTGCATAAGTGGTTTAGAGCAGGGCTTAAAATTTCAAATCCTGAGCTACTAGCCAGGCCTTAAGAGTTACTCGCCACCAAGAAACACACACAAACAGAGACACCTGTACACACAGATGCACACATGTACATACACAGACATGCATACACGCACGCACGCTGTTAAGTGCTCTCTCCTCTCCCCTGAAGCCACCACTGGCTGACATAGAGGATCATGTGACCAGAGTGAGTTGAAATTCGGTACACACACCTATAAAAAGTTGCAGTACTTCGTTGTTCACTCACCGAGCCGGGTACTACACTCTAGGGGGAGGCAGAGAGCACAGCACACACTCCTTCCTTTGCTTTCACTGCGCTCAACTATTGAGCAGTCTGACGGCTCCCAGTGCCAATGACAGGTCCGGCCTGAGCTCCGAGCCGGCTCAGCAAGACGGCCCTGGGGGACACACTCGCCCCCACCATAATTTCCACTCGCCATTGGCGAGCAGGCGAGTGGAAATTTCAAGGTCTGGTTTAAAATCAGTTTGCAGGCATTCAGGATGCACCACAACTGTGTCAGTTGGCGCCTTGTTACAGTGTGGTACCATTACCTTCAATAGGCATGCTTAGCAGTTGGCACTGCCTGCCAAACGTGGCATGAGTTAAATTTTTCCACAAAATGTCAAGGCAGTGGCAATGTGATCGGATCTTAACGAGCGCTATGGTATTTTATAGGTATGCGGTAAAAACTCTGATCAGCTGCCCCATTTGCTGCCCCTTTGCTGCCTGTGTGAACTCAGCCTTAAGATAGCCATCGATTAGGGCAGGCACAATACAAAAACCCACAGGCTTGCAATTTCAATTATGAAGATGTACTAGTGAGAGATACACAAATATTTGTTTTTTAGTTTCAGTAGTGGCACCATCCACTTGATCATTAGGGCACCCTGTGATTTCTGAAGAGAAATATTGTAATCTTCTGAACATCAGTGGTTGTGTTTGGGAACTGTAAAGCTGGATATATATATATATATATATATATATATATATATATATATATATATATATATATATATATATATATATATATATAGTCATGGCCGAAATTGTTGGCACCCTTGATATTTCTCCAGGAAATCATGTATTTCTCACGAAACGTATTGCATTAACACATGTTTTGCTATACACATGTTTTTATTCCCTTTGTGTGTATTGGGACAAAACAAAAAAAGGGAGGAAAGAAAGCAAATTCGACATAATGTCACACAAACCTCCAAAAATGGGCTGGACAAAAGTATTGGCACCCTTTCACAACTGCGGATAAATAAGAATGTTACAAGCATGTGATGCTCCTGTAAACTCACCTGGGGCAAGTAACAGGTGTGGGCAATATAGAAATCACACCTGAAAGCAGATAAAAAGGAGAGACGTTCACTTAACCTTTGCATTGTGTGTCTGTCTGTGCCACACTAAGCATGGACAACAGAAAGAGGAGACGAGAACTGTCTGAGGACCTGAGAACCAAAATTGTGGCAAAATATCAACAATCTCAAGGTTACAAGTCCATCTCCAGAGAACTAGATTTGCCTTTGTCCACAGTGCGCAACATTATCAAGAAGTTTGCAACCCATGGCACTGTAGCTAATCTCCCTGGTCGTGGACGGATGAGGAAAATTGATGAAAGATTGCAACGCAGAATAGTCCGGATGGTGGATAAGCAGCCCCAAACATGTTCCAAAGACATTCAAGCTGTCCTGCAGGCTCAGGGAGCATCAGTGTCAGCGCGAACTATCCGTCGACATTTAAATGAAATGAAACGCTATGGCAGGAGACCCAGGAGGACCCCACTGCTGACACAGAGACATAAAAAAGCAAGACTACAGTTTGCCAAAATGTACTTGAGTAAGCCAAAAGCCTTCTGGGAAAACGTCTTGTGGACAGATGAGACCAAGATAGAGCTTTTCGGTAAAGCACATCATTCTACTGTTTACCGAAAACGGAATGAGGCCTACAAAGAACAAAACACAGTACCTACGGTAAAATATGGTGGAGGTTCAATGATGTTTTGGGGTTGTTTTGCTGCCTCTGGCACTGGGTGCCTTGACTGTGTGCAAGGCATCATGAAATCTGAGGATTACCAAAGGATTTTGGGTCGCACTGTAGGGCCCAGTGTCAGAAAGCTGGGTTTGCGTCCAAGATCCTGGGTCTTCCAGCAGGACAATGACCCCAAACATACGTCAAAAAGCACTCAGAAATGGATGGCAAAGAAGCGCTGGAGAGTTCTGAAGTGGCCAGCAATGAGCCCAGATCTAAATCCCATTGAACACCTGTGGAGAGATCTTAAAATTGCTGTTGGGAAAAGGTGTCCTTCCAATAAGAGAGACCTGGAGCTGTGCAAAGGAAGAGTGGTCCAAAATTCCGGGTGAGAGGTGTCAGAAGCTTATTGATGGTTATAGGAAGCGACTGATTTCAGTTATGTTTTCCAAAGGGTGTGCAACCAAATATTAAGTTAAGGGTGCCAATACTTTTGTCCAGCCCATTTTTGGGGTTTTGTGTGACATTATGTCATATTTGCTTTTCTGCCTCTGTTTTATATTTGTTCCAATACATACAAAGGGAATAAACATGTGTATAGCAAAACATGTGTTAATGCAATACCTTTTTTGTGTGAAATACTTGATTTTCAGGAAAAATATCAAGGGTGCCAACAATTTCGGCCATGACTGTATATATATATATATATATATATATATATATATATATATATATATATATATATATATATATAGCAACTTTCAGGCACTTTCAATTACTTTCTATTGATTGAGAATCAAACAAAAAAATTAAAAGTGGTTGCCTGAAAACAAGATAAACCACCCATGAGTTTGATCAAATATATGTATTCAATCAAACAAGCAGGGCTATAAATCACTAGGTCTAATAGAGTTTAATGGGGAAAAAAAATTGGTCAAAGCCAGAAATAACAGCATTTCGTCAGCAATTGGTTTTTCCTCCTCCGATTCCATGGAGGCATTTTTGATCGCATCTTCCTGCAGTCAATCTAAACCACTAATTCTGCATGCCCCATGAGTGTCTGATTTTCAAGGATTAGGAGACTATTGTTAGTTTCTAAAGATCGAGTACCATTAATGACTTGGTGAGCAAAATGTTAATTCATTTTAGGATATTAAGTGAATGTGCTAGTGGGCTTGAATGTATTTTTTTTCTGTTGCAGACAAAAGAATCTGACTTGGTTTTGCTGGCAAGCATCCCTCTAGCTCTTCTGGACTCAGCATTGTGCTGGTGGATATCCTTTAACAGGAAAGATCACATAACGTTTTATATTCTTGAAAGGAAGTAATTATAGTACATTATATTCTGTCCCTTAAAAGGAAGCTTCAAAATTCTTAATCTGTGTATTGGCTAAATAATGGATCAGTGGTAAGAACTGCAAGAAATGCAAATGTTTTGATTACATTGGATTTATACGTTTTAAAAGTAAGTTCTAGGGCTAGTGTACAATAGTTTGAGTTTAGTTAAGGTCAGTTTGATTTTATCCCTACTTACAAGTCATGCAAATGCACGGTAGACTCGTTGTTATAGCTGAACTCTGGGGAAAATCTAAAGCTACACATGAGAGGAGAGGCTCTTTGGGAGTTAGAAAATAAGGTAAGGTAAACTGCTTTTTAATGGTACCCTAGATAAAATCTGCAATTAACCATTGCAGTGTGGGGGAAACACCACTACAAGGGTAACTTAAATTTTCCCTGGGGTTTTTATATGCCATTTTATGCTAGCATATAAAACTTTTCTATATTTTCTAGTGGTGGAAACATTTGTTGCCTTTGTCCACCCTGCACTGCCAGGTATTCTGATGTCTGTGCCAACCCCTGTCACATCGCTGGCAGATATTCCTGATATGAGGAATAGCTTGAGACTTGTTTTGTAGTTATTTCACATGCATAAGATGGTTAGAGGCATGACAATTTGATAAATGGTGCTATTTGTTTAATTTTCATGGAAGAGGACTTTTTTTTAATTTTGCACAGTGATTATTTTAAGTTCGATTGATGCAAATAGTGTTTTGCTGAAATGAAGTCAGAACCCCTAATCTGCCTATATTCTACCAGATCATTTACTCTTGAATATTAAAGTCATTGGAAAAGCACAAAAGATGACAAGTAGCATTTTCCAAAAATCAGCATTGGTAGCCTTAGTTGTTTTCTTAACCCTTTCCAGCCAATGGAAGCCAGCCCTATAGGGGGTTCTTAAAACATGGATGTGGGCATTCAGGTCAAAGGATCACTGCCATTGGCTTGTCATAGTGATCATGTGTTTAGGAACCTTCTTGTAAAACACTGTCTGTGATAGTTCACTCACAGTGCTGGGGCCCCGAGTAAATACACTCCCAGCACAAACAAGGGATTTTAGGGCTGCATACATGTCAATTTGACATTAAAGCCCACCACCGTGCTGCCACATAGGTGCGTACAGCCAGTTTAAGGGGTTATAAATACCCATTCTCTTGGTCCTGGTATTTATATTGCAGTGTGACTGTACTAATAACCTTTTACTTGAAGATCTTTGATCTTGGTCCTACTGTGAGAAGAGTGCCATTTGATAAGAGTGTTAAATTTCCGTTCTGTGTGTGCTTCTTGCTTGCAGTTAATCGTATAAATACTTTTAGTGTTCTCCTTAGCTGCTCCATACATATTTGTAAGCTTGGCTCAAACAATGAAGACACTGAAGTTAAGAAAAAACACAGTGAAATACTCACTATACAGACATTTTACAAATACATTAATTTTTGCCATATTAGGTAAGTTTAGACTCCATTTTCCTCAACTGTGGTATTGAAAAGATAATGTTGTAATGTGTGTGTTCTCTTTTCTTCTAAGCATCTGTAATATTTATGGCGTGGACAACAAAAAAGTTCAGACTGGCACCATGTCCATCTGTAAGTATTATGAGTATATTTTTCTATATGGTCTTTATAATCATTCTGTTATATTCTATGGGATACGTCACTTTGCCTTATTAACCACTTGCCTACCAGGCACTTATACCCCCTTCCTTACCAGGCCAATTTTCAGCTTTCAGCGCTGCCGCACTTTGATTGACAATTGCGCCGTCATGCAACATTGTACCCATATGAAATTTTGATCATTTTTTTCTCACAAATAGAGCTTTCTTTTGGTGGTATTTAATCGCCACTGGGCGCTTTACTTTTTGCGCTATAAATTAAAAAAAGTGCAAAAAATTTGAAAAAAAAAAAAAAGTTTATTTGTTTCTTTTATAAAATTTTTCAAACAGGTATTTTTTCTTCTTCACTGATTTGCGTTGATGAGGCGGCACTGATGGGCACTGATAGGCGGCACTGATGGGCACTGATAGGCGGCACTGATGGGCACTGATAGGCAGCACTAAAGGGCACTGATAGGCAGTACTAATGAGGTGGCACGGATAGGCGGCACTGATAGACAGCACTAATTAGGGGTCACGGATAGGCGGCACTGATATGCAGCACTGATAGGCGGCACTGATAGGTGACACTGATTATGGGTACTGATAGACGGCACTGACTGGCATCACTTCTGGGCACTGACTGGCGGCACTGACTGGCACAACCCCTGGGCACTGACTGGTGGCACTGACTGGCAGCACTGGTGGGCTGCACTGGTGGGCGGCACTGGTGGGCACCACTGGTGGGTGGGCACAGGTAGGTGGCACTGGTGGGCACAGGTGGGTGGCACTGGTGGGCACAGGTGGGTGGGCACAGGTGGGTGGCACTGCTGGCACATGTAGGTGGCACTTCTGGGCACAGGTAGGTGGCACTGCAGAGTGGCACAGGTGGGGGCACTGCTGGGCACAGGTGGGGGCACTGCTGGGCATGGGTGGGCGGGGCTAGTGGGCGCACTGTGGGAGGAACTTGCGGGGGTCACTGCTGGGCACCGATCATCAGGGCACTGATCATCAGTGCCCTGATGATCGGTGCCGATCCCCGCTCTGACAACTGCCGGTTCTCGGCAGTACTTTCCTCACGATCTGACAGCGTGAGGAAAGTGCAGCCGAGAACCGGCACTTGCATTTTCCTGTGATCAGCGTGTCATTGGACACCGCTGATCACGTGGTAAAAGGCCGGTGGGATCGGCCTTTCACCACATCTCGTGATCAGCTGTGTCCGTAGGACACAGCGATCACGGAGATCGCCGGGTGCGCGCCCCCTGGGGCGCGCAGGAGAGCGTGTTCTGGGGAGGACGTCATATGACGTCCACCCAGAACTAGCCGGCCGCGGTGCAGCCGTCATTCGGCTATGCGCGGTCGGCAAGTGGTTAAAGCTGAAGTCCAACTTTACCTTCAGTCTTGCTCGAATGTAAACTGAAATTGCTTCCTTTCATTTCACTGAACATTGTGAGCTTCTCACAGCGTGCATTAGAAACCTGCAGCAAGTCAAATAGAGCCTGCCTCATTTCCACGCAAATATAGCTTTCTTTTGGTGGTATTTACTCGCCACTGGGTGTTTTATTTTTTGCGCTATAAACAAAAAAAGAGCAAAAATTTTGAAAAAAAAAAGTTTTTCTGTTTCTATTATAAAATTTTGCAAACAGGTAATTTTTCTCCTTCACTGATGTGCATTGATGAGATGGCACTGATAGGCAGCACTGATGGGCACGCATAGGCGGCACTGATATGGAACAATGATGGGCACTGCTGGGAGGCACTGACTGGCGGCTCTGCTGGGCACTGATGGGTAGCACTGCTGGGCACTGGTGGGTGGTGCTGGTAAGCACTGCTGGGTGGCACTACTAGGCACTGTTGGGCACAGGTGGGTGGCACTGCTGAACCCTGATGATCGGTGCCAATTCGTCCTCTGACAATTGTTGGTTATTGGCAGTACTTTCCTCTGTGTTATTGAACACGTGCTGATCACGTGGTAAAAGGCTGCTGTGATTAGCCTTTTACCACATCACGTGATCAGCTGTTTTCATACGACACAGCGATCACGGAGATCGCCGGGGGGCGCGCGGAAAGGCGCCTTCTGGGAGGACGTCATATGACACCCTCCCAGAACTGGCTGGCTGCAGAGAAGCCATCATTCAGCTATCTGCTGTCGGCAAGTGTTTAAAAGAGAAGAACTAAAAGACCTAATGGAAGAGGAATCAAGGAGAATATTTAATAGGGTATCAAAAGATAGATATCAGTGGGGACACAGCTCAGGTAAACATTTAATGAGGAGATTAAAGGAAAAACATTTATAAAGGAAGAATTATATAGAAAAACTTAAAGATGGAAAAGGAGAAATGGTGTATTCCACCACCGATATTGTTAGTATGTTTCAAAAATATTACAGCAGGTTGTATGATGTGAGTCCTAGAAACCAAAAAGAAACCGAGGAGGGGAAAAAAGGCAGAAATATTTAAATGACGCACACGAATGCCAAGAATAACAGAAGAAAGCTTAGGGACCTTAGAGAGAACTATTACCCTGGCCTTGAAGAGTATGGCAGTAGGAAAGAGCCCTGGCCCCGGTGAATATACTGTAGGTTACTCAAGAAATTTAAAGATCTCCTAGCCCCCAGAATGTGTACATATATGAATGTGGTAGGAGAGAGGTTAGGAATGAGGGAAGAATCATTGCAAGCATTCATAACAATTATACTAAAAGAAGGGAAGGATAGTTCACAGTGTGCCAGTTATAGGCCCATATCTTTATTAAATATAGACATAAAACCATATGCTAAGGTTTTGGCAACTAGACTGAAGGAGCTAATGCTGGAGTGGATACACATGGATCAGGTGGGATTCGTTCCTGGCAGACAAGGTAGGGACAAGGGCTTAAGAACATAATCTTGTCGATCAACGCTGAAAAAGCTTTTGACAGGGTTGATTGGGGATTTATGTTTGATACGTTAGAAGCCATAGAAATAGGACCTAAAATGTTAGTGGATAAAAGGGCTTTATAATGGCCCCTCAGTAGTGGTCAAGGTCAACGTTTCCCTTTCACAGTTTTTTAAAATGTATAATGGCACTAGACAGGGATGCCCACTCTCTCCTTTATTTGTAATATCCCTGGAACCCTTGCTGGCGATGGTAAGAAAGTATGTGGATATAACAGGAATAATGATAGGTGACGTAGAACATAAGGTGGCAGCGTATGCAGACAATATGTTGTTCTATATAGTGAATCCTAGAATAACGTTGCCTAACTAAATTAAACTATTAAAACAGTATGGAGAGCTATCAAACCTGAAAATAAACCCCTCAAAATCAGAGATACTGAACATCAATGTTTCAAAGACAGAAAAGCAAACGCTACAAAATGATTTTCCATTTACACAGAGGGAAAAGGAATTCGGTTATTTGGGAATAAAGTGAACTCCTTCAGTAAAAGGTATTTACCAGGTTAATAAACAAAATAAAGGTGGAGTTGCGGAGACTTCTAAATGGAGGGGCCTCTTGGATAGGTAGCATACATTTGGTAAAGATGGTGATAGTACCAAAAATTCTGTATAAGTTTCATATGCTCCCAATACATTTACCAGGATCCTACTGTGAGATAATAAAGAGGATGATACTTAAGTTTATTTTGGTAAATAAGAAACGAGAATTAAATATAAGGTATTATGTAGGGCAAAAAGGAACAGGGGATTAAACCTGCCTAATTTTAGGAAATATTATGTATCGGTGATATTATCACGAATTGTATATTGGACATTTAATTCGCAAGGAAAATGTTGGGTAAATATAGAGGAGACTATGAGCAAATTGGAGAAGAATATTTGGATACCACACAATTTTGGTATATTGGATGTGAATACTAGTTTTTTTTTACAAGGAATGTTTTGAGAGTGTGGGACACTATTCACAAGCAAAAGAGATGGAAATAATTCAATATTCCGCTGGAGTGTACGTATTATTTTCCTCCAGGGAAGGATAATATTTCTGTGAAATGGATTAAAGAAAATGCACGTTTGAAGGATATAATGGAAAGGGGAAAGTGTGCACTTTTCTAGATTTAAAGAGAAAAAAAGATTTATTTGTCACATTAGACGAGTGGCGGTACTATCAACTAGGTAATTTTGTTTCAATGCTTCCACAACTACTGAGGTTGCTGGAGGATCTGCATCCTTTGAAAAACTGATTGTTAATACAGCACAAAAACATGCTACTTCTAGGATATTTAAGATCCTTATTGACTTGGAGGGAGCGGATCCTTCTGTACAGGACAGACAGGGCCAAACACAGCCCATCTGTACCATGTGATTAGCTATGACCAATCACAGTAGTAAACACTGAATCCGTTTCATTCAGTAAAAATGATTGCTTATATCAGTGAAATTCACTGGTATAAGCAATCATTTAATAAAAAAAAAAATCCTGATAACTTCCTCAGAGTAGTACAGTGTTACTATTGTAACATCATATTGCTCTGGTCACAGTGTGTTAAAAAAAGAAATTGCAAAAAAGAAAAAAATCAAGAAAAAAACAAACAAAAAATTGAAAAAATATTTTAAAAAATATTTTGTTTTGTGTTTTACATAGTGCCACTAGTCAGTGTGCCCGATCACCACCCCACCAGTTACATGATGACGCTGTACTGCACTGGTGAAGAAAAAGAAAAAAGTGAAAAAAAACAAACAATTTTTAAAAATGTCTTCATTTTACAAAAAAAAGTGACAAAAACATTACAAGTTCAAAAAACTCGCCATGCTTCTTACTAAAGACCTCAGACTCTACTTAAAGGGGTAACTTTGAGGATATTTCTACTGTCCTGACATTTTGGGGCCTCAAGAACGGGCAAATGAAGCCCTTAGTACATCAGGATTGATCGATTTTTTTTTTTTTTTTTTTTTTTTTTTTTTTTTAATTTTTTTATTATATTCCATAGTTGTGGACTCTGAAACTTTGCTTTTAGACTAAATATTATACACTGATTTGGGTTGTTTTCACCAAAGAAATGTAGCAGTAAACCTTGTGGCCTAAATTTATGAAAGATTATTTATTTGCAAAATTTTATAACCGAAACAAAGAAAAACGCTTTTTCCCCCTCAAGTTTTTTAGTCATTTTTCATTTAACAAAAAATGAAAAACCCAGTGGTGATTAAATACTACCAAAAGGAAGCTCTATTTGTGTGAAAAAATTTATAAAAATTTAATATGGGTACAGTGTTGCATGACCACGCAATTGTCATTTAAAGCATGAGAGTGGCCTGGGCAGGAAGGGGGTGAAAGTGCCTGGTATTGATGTGGTTAAGCACTATAGGGAGCACACTTTCCTATGTACACAAAAATCTGTATTAAATTCAAATTAACAGTTCTCTTGGACTTCAATACACTGGTCCTTGCAGTTTTATTATGCAATTGAATTTAACAAGACTCCTACAAATCTCATTTTAACTTCATGTTTTCTAGGATTGGATGGAGCTCTGGGTGGATGATGCTTTCTGGAGATTCCTGTTTTCTGTGGTCTTACTCGTTATAATGTTTTTATGGAGGCCATCTGCAAACAACCAAAGGTACACACATTTTTACGAGGGTCAATTATTAATATCTTAAACTTTTTCCAAACTCTCGCCACCTTTGCCTTTCAATTGAAGACAACATAAACCACCAATGTGCACCGTAGTAGCCATAGCTGTCAGTTTTGCCTGCATATATTACATAGATCTTGGTAATCCTGTTTCCTGGGTCTGTTGTACAGATCCATATGCTATGTACATATTTATGCTGAGTCGATCTCTGCTCATCTTTACTTACCTTTCCAGTGACCCTTGTCCTGAAGCACTGCTGCTTCACTTTTTTCTCTGGCTGCAGGTTTTTGAACCTTCTGGGTGGATAGAATACCAGCACCTCCAGTTGACTTGTATATCCTGTAGTCATGTACAAGTCAGACGGTGGAGCAGGTGGTCACGTGGAAGCCGTCAAAGGCTGCCAAAAAAGTAAAGGTGAGCTTGTTTTACAGGGCTGACCTCCTTTTGAGTAACCATGTGGTGAAAGGGTCTCTTTAGTCTGAGGTTTAAATTGCCTTGCTGTCTTTAGTGGCTGGTAATGCATACTATAATAAGCAGTTTCTCACAGAATAAGCTTCTTTTCAGGACTGGGGCTTGACAGAAAAGCGAGTAAAGGCATTTGAACTGTTCTGCAGGCTCCATCCAGTCCTTTTTGGGGGCCTGTTCACTCTATTATGTTAACCAGTGGCAACAGGGTAGGCAATTAGATGAAGTTTCTTAGGGCATACGCCCAGGGTCCTTTGCGTGATCAGATGGATACACAGTAGTTTATAGTCAGTGAAGACCACTGTCTAACATTTACAATGTCTTGATATAAATTAAAACAAACCTACGACTACACTGTTGAAATACCTTTTTGTGTGCTCTTTACCTGCCAAAATGAGCTTTTCAGCTTCCTGTGTCACTTGTGTGCTCACTGTACTTTGGCAGCCACATCATGTTGATAAGATCCTTCCTGTACTACCTCATCCTATAAGCTGCCTGAACACCATCTCTTTTGCCCTCCATTGAGTTGGTAGATTGACTGCAATGAAGGAAAAATCCAAGCAATTATACCAGCAGTATGGTAAAAAAAAAATGATGTGGGTTTTATTGAATACTTAGAGGTTCTTCATTCTAGGAAAAAAAAAAAGTAGAGTCAGCAGCTATAAATCATATAGCTGCTAAATTTTAATAACCGGACACTTGCCTATCCAGGGATTCAGTGCTGTCTTCACCCGAGCTTGTTTTTCACTAACCTTTGTGTTCCCAGCGCCGGCATCTTAACTGTTGGCAGCTTGACAGCCATCTGCCCACTGCTCATGCGCAAGCCAAGCTGCGCTTTGTGAATGATCCCGCAGTCTTCTGGGATCTGTGACTTTTCCCAAAAGACTGCTGGAAGGGACGGGGGAGGAAAACACCCACTCTGATCATCTGTCAAAACTTGGTACCTACTCCCCCGCCCTCCCAAAAAAATTACATGCCAGCACAGTGGCTAAGTGGTTAGCACTTCCGCCTGGCAGTACTAGGGTCGTTGGTTCAAATTCCAGCCACGGCACCACCTGCCTGGAGTTTGCATGTTCTCCCTGTGCCTGTGTGGGTTTCCTCTGGGTACTCCGGTTTCCTCCCACACTCCAAAGACATGCTGGAAGGTTAATTGGCTCCTGTCTAAATTGTCCCTAGTATGTGTATGTATGAATGTGAGTTAGGGACCTTAGATTGTACACCCCTTGATGGTTAGGGACTGATGTGAATGTACAATATATATGTGAAGCGCTGCGAAATTGACAGCGCTATATAAGTACCTGAAATAAATAATTGTGGGAGAGGAGGGCAGAGGAGGACTTAAAGGAGAAGCGTAAAGTCCCTCTTTAACTGGACTCGGTGGTTTTAGTTTTTTTTTTTTGCTTGGAGATCCTCATCTACAGCCTTTTGATACCAGTTTTTTTTTTTTTTTTTGGTACATTGAATTTCCATATAAAGGTTTTTTTTTTTTTTTTAAAAAAGGTACATTCATCTTTAGTAACATGTAACACCCATATTTATGCTGTAACATGTTACTAAATGAGTAGCCCCCTACACCTGCTATCACAATTAAAAAAAAAAAAAAAAAAACGCAACTGTGTGGGGCTCTGCCCACCTGGCCTCGTCATTCATTCAGAGTTCTATGAATGGGAGAACTGCAACTACTGTCAGCTAAAGTGACTGAGGGCTTGCAGTCCTCAATGAACTACCAGGTCGTTGATAACCGTTCCAGGTAGTTCATTGTTCCTTTCAGTAACTGACAGTCTGCTGAAGCCCAAGATTGCAATGCTTTTCAGGCTCCTAATAAAAAAAAAATAAAAAAAATAAAATAAATAAATGCACATTTTTCCTGCAAAAAAGATATTTATTTATTATTATTATTATTATTATTATTTATATTTTTTTTTTAAAAAAGGTCAACCTATCCTTTAACGACCTCAGAACTGGCATCTGTTTCTGCTCACAAAACTGGTTTTATCTATTTACAGGTATGCATTCACCCCTCTTATGGATGATTCAGACGATGAAGTAGAAGAATTCCTTGTTACAGATCATTTAGGTAATTTCTGTTCTGGCAGTTTTTGTTTTTTTACTGTTCAACACCCCCCCCCCCCCTACAATCTTCAGTTGTCAAATGGTGTTTATATTCTGTTTATAGCAGAAGGTATGAAGTTAAGGGGAACAAAGTCGGAGCCTAATGGAACAGCTAAGCCTGCTGCTGCTAATACGGTGAGTAAAGACTGTCAAAATGTTTTTATATTTCTGTAAAATATTTCCCATTAGTTTGGGTCAGCCAAATAAACCTCTCCAAAAAGGACAAACTGTTGTGGAAAAGCCCTGTCTTTTTTTTTTTTTTTTTTTTTGTATATCAGACCTTTAAATGAGTGCCACACCCAGTGAGTCTTTAAAGCAGTGTATGGCCTTTTCTGAATTAAAGCCTATCTACACCCAGCAACACAAGTGTAAAATTTGGCAGCTTATACATTCTTAGATGTGGCTACATTAGCTTTTTGGAATTATTTTCTTTTGTTAATTCTGAAAATAACATACTTCCTGTCTTAGGGTGGTGAGTGGATGTTCATTCTACCTAATGAAGGGAGCAATGGTTGTTACTAGGCTGCTCTCCTTATTTGGACTGCTAACTCCTCCACTTCTCGTCTGCATTAAATAAGTGGGCATTTTTGGCAATTCACAAAAGGTAGCAGTTGTTTAAAATATCAGTTCAACACAGGAAGTTCCAAGGACACTTGCAAGATCATTTTCTGTACTTGCAGTGACCACATCTGTAATGTAGCTACCACATCTAAAAGCTGTTAAGCTGCAATATGTTATATTTTTGGGGTTTAGATCCGAGGCAGCAGGTCGCCCATAAGCCATTGTGTCCTGGCTCATGGGATTTTGTCAGCCGTCTGCATCTGCCTCCCACTTGCTGTAGCCATCTTTTTGGGAGGGTGTTTAGTGACCATCAGTGCAGCCTCATCACTGCACATCAGTGAAAAAGAAAACATTACTTACTTGGTGATTAAATACCTCCAAAAGAGAGCTCTTTTTCTGTGAAACAATAATAAACATATCATATGGGTGCAGTGTTGCATGTCCACGCAATTGTCAAAGTGTGATCGCGCTAAAAGCTGAAAATTGGCCTGGGCAGGAAGGGAGGGAAAGTGCCCAGTACGCAAGTGATTAAAAAAAAACCTGGCTCCTTTTTTTAGCTGGCTCGTAGGTTCAAAGCAAATTTGTCAAGTGCTGGATTAGATATCCTTTAAAAATCTGAACCATGGACTGTACTATGCATCTCATCGGTACAGGTCCAAGTATTTCTGGTCAGCGTGCGAAGTGCCACAAGAGACAAAAATGCAATACAATATGTACTGTACTTGCAGGAAAACTTCAGATGATGCTCTTTGGCAGATGTATGAAAATATCCTTTTCTGAAAAGAAGGCAATTTTTGCATGCCAGAGCTTTAAGAGAATACCCAGCAACTGCGTTTTTTAAAGCAACATAGAGCATTTGCTTGATTCATATAAAACTAGTAGGGAATGTAATGTACTTTTTATTTTCAGTGTTGACAATTGGCGTTGGACACTGCTCTTAGTCAAACTTGTAACAATCAAGATGACAATGGTTCTGAAGACAGCCAGCTGAATAGTCTTTGCTATCCATACAGAGTTTTATTATGGTGATCAAATGTATGTGGCGGGGGGGAACTGTATAGCATAGTTTATGGATAGTGCCAGTTAACCATATATATAATATATGATTTTGCATTTCTGGGTAGGGGACGCGCTGTCATTGACTCCTGGAGGTGTCAATCACCGGGTCCTGGCCAGCGAATCATGGCCGATACTCGGTGATCGTTGGAGAAGCTGATAGGGGAGAGATCAGTGTGTAAACACAGGTCTCTCTCCTGTCAGGGAAGTGCTGCTTTCTATCTCTCCGCAAAACACTGTTAAGCCTTTCATTGTACCTGATGTTAACCCCTTCCTGCCCAGTGTCATTAGAACAGTGATCAGTGCTTTTTATTCACTCTGATTGCTGTGTTCGTGTCACTGGAGAGGTCAGTGGCAGTTAGTTCCCACCCAGTGTCATTTAGTGTTAGAATACCCGCCACAGTCCTGCTATAAGTCGCTGATCGCCGCCATTACTAGTATAAAAAAAAATAAAGAAAAATTTAAGATTATATAAACCCACATTTCTAGACACTATAATGATATGTAAACCAGTTAATATACACTTTGTATTTTTTTGCCAAAGACATGTTTCAGAATACATTTTATGAATACATTTTATGAAGAAATTTTATTTTTTCAGTTTTTTTATTGGATATGTTTTGTGAAAAAGTCAAAAATATTGTTTTTGGTTTTTTTTTTTTTGTTTTGTTTTTTTTTTTCAGAATTGTTGGTCTTTTTTTTTTATAGTGCAAAAAATAAAATAAATAAATGCAGAGAGGTGATCAAATAGCACCAAAAGAGAGCTTTATTTGTGGGGGGGGGGGGTGCATGCATTTTATTTATGTAGAGTGTTGCATGACCTCACAATTATCAGTTAAAGTAACTCATGCCGTATCACAAAAAATGGCCCAGTCGTGAGGGGGGTAAATCTTTCGGATGGCAAGTGGTTAATACTGGAAGAATCCTGTTGGTTTTTCTGTGACATTTAATACCGGATACTTCTAAAGTTGTATGGTTTTCTGTCTTGCCAGGATGAAGACCTAAAGTGGGTGGAAGAAAATATCCCATCTTCATTTGCTGATGTGTAATTATATTTTTTTTTCTTCTTCTCTGTATATTTAAAGTTTGTCTTTCTTGATAAGAATCACATTTCCAAACAAATGGGAGAAATGGCAAAGACATGGCTGTGTGATTCACATTCCTGTCCAATGCAATGCAGGCTGCCACTTGTTTGGTACTCTCACTGGATTGGGTACTTGTTTACATATGGCTCTATGGCTTCATTTTGGAACCTCTGAAGCATCAACCTGTCAGTTTGAAAACTGTCTCACACTTTTGCAATATTTTTTAACTTCAAATATGCAGATCTTGGCATTTTTTGTAAGCCAGACCTTACTGATGAATAACATGTCATGTTTTCTTGATCTTTTCACATAGTCATATGTAGAATAAGTGCTTCTTTGAAACTGTGACTAATACAGCTCACTGTGTGCTCAGTAGTCTGGAAGCATGAGACCTGTTGATGGTCCTTGAACTTGAGTTGGTTAACACTTTTTTTTTTTTTTTTTTAAATGGATCTACTGTCAGATAAAACCTGTCATGTTAAATCCAGATGTGTTTTAGTGTTGGATAGTTTTTTTTTTTTTTTTCTGCTGCAAGCGTCCCTGCTTTGAAAATACATCCTATTGGGAAATCAAAATGTTAAAGCTGTCATTGGTAAGAGGTGTGAGAAAAAAATCTTCCAATGGCGGCACCTGTTCCAGTGACAACTACTTAAGGGAAAGAACTTCTTGTCACATACAGGCAGCAAATCAGAAAATTGATAGTTTCTAACCATTACTATTCTCTCCAAAATAGAAACAAAACTTTTTGACTTTAAGTGCAGTATGTTTACTACCTTTTAAACAGATCATAGTACGCTCCCTTGCATTGCCTTCATTTTCCTTTTTCCCCAGATGTTTTATGCAGTCCTATTTCAAGCATTGTCAAGAGTCAAAATCTACTTCTTGGGCTTAAATTGCTCACCCAGACACAATCATGTAAATACCAGGTTCTGCACCGTAGCCTTTGTTCTTGGTTGTGTAATCACTGGTTTTATCACAAGCTCTTCTCCGCTTTGGTACCATACAATTGCAAGGATATTAGTTGTTTCTGAGACGCTTCACAGTCATCCAATAATCACAGCTGCTTTAGGTGAAGCCTTTTCACCTTCTCTTTTGTCAAATAACTGCAGCTCCTGACTGTTTGCTTAAGTTTAATTTGTGGTAATGAGAAAGTATACCTAATAAACTGACTATATGGTGTAGCTCATGTAAAAATTATGTGCAACCCCAGTTCCCAAAAAGTTTTGATGCTAGGTAAAATCTACATAGAAACCGAAAGCAATGTCAGATGGAAAGATTCATAAGTTGCACATCAAAGGCAGACCCATGTGCGTTAGGTGAGATGAATGGCAGCCTCAGCCTGGACTCCAGTCAGGCCATACTCCCAACACGTTTCATTCCACCCCTTGGAGCTTAATCATGGGGATGGCTAATTTGGCTTGTACAATGAAAATTAAATTTTTAGTACAGATATTTTAAACTTTAGCACCAAATACTATACTCACCTGTCCCTGCTCTCCTTAGATCTACACTTTGTTGCTTGCTGGGAGTCATTAAAGTCCCATGGTCCAGCCATGCATGCATAGTAGAATATCATTTTTTTTTTTTTCTAAAGTACTGAATGGGGATTCTTCTGCACATGTGGACCCCCCAGACAGGAGACTCTTCCTGGTGAGACCATGAGACTCCCAGCAGGCGGGACTGTGGCAATTTAGGAAGAGCAGGGAGAAGTGTAGGATTTGCGTTGCTCAACTGGGTTACATAAAGGATAACTGTACTGAAATTACAGGTATCTTTTAATAACTGTATAAATCTGCATATAGGTGATGAATGTGTTGGCACACATTTTGGAATTTCCTGCTGACCTTGTTATCATTTGTTTTCTCTTTTTTACTTTTAGGGCGCTTCCAGTATTATTGGACTCCGATGAGGTAATTGAGGCATGCACATAATTATTAAGGGATAAAGACTCCTCTTAAAGGATAAGTTCACCTTTTTGACAAAGATAATAAATGCACACTTTTTTGCTCGTAAAAAAAATGTGCATTTATTATGTTTGTCCAAAGGAGCCTGTAAAGCATTGCACCAGCAATCAGTAGATCACTGATGCCTTGCAGGTCTCCTGTAGACCTATCAAAATATCTCCTAGCCATACGGGATGTACGTCAAAGCAGGTATTCTAACATGAAGCATGAATGAACTACCTCGGTGCTCCACAGCGCCGTGGTAGCTCATTGGAAACTACAAGCAGACAGTCGCTAAGGCTGCTGGGACTTGTAGGCACTCATTCACAGAACTCTGTGAATGAGTGGTGTGGGTGAAGCCCCGCACGGCCGCAATGTTTTCAAATCTGACAGATAGTATGGGGTAACCTCTCCCCGTACTATCTGTCGGGGGGGGCACGGCTGCGGCTATGAGAACACGTTACATGTTCCATCCCAAAAACGGGTGGAACATGTAACATGTTCCATAGGTGAACTTATCCTTTAACAGCGTAAGTTAATAATTTTACCTTTTTTATTTTAGGAGATCATGATGACCAAATATGAAATGTCAAAGATCGAGTGATGTCAGCAGAGATTGCTCCTCGACAATGAACTGTGAACCGCTTCACCGGGAGGCCAGGATTGGTACTGGCTACTTCAGTGTTGGAGACTTCTGATAATTCAGTATATGGCGTGTTTGTACTATCCAATCATAAACAGATCTTCCTTCTTTTTACATCTGACTGAAAACGTGTCATGAGGGGATTATTTTACAGCATAAAGACTTTAACATCCGTGCAAATTTTAATTTTTGAATGTATTCACTATTTAAAAACCATTTTGTTGGATCAAGTTCAAGTCCTAAGATTGTTTATAAGACTATATGCAACATTTCACACTCTTAAAACATATTCTGCTTGGCCAATTGAGCATCATGAAATGTTTTCCAGTAATAGCTGTTCCAGTATGTCGGTACATGTACCATTACAGAACAGTCGCTGATTATTTCCATGAACAGATTTGCAATGTAACAGTGATTCATTCTAGACACAGTCTGTAGGTAAAGGGAGCACTGTCATCTCTCTCAAAGTTATGCCAGCCATTCCAATACAGTTGTGTGAATGATCCAGGCTATTTTTTGTTGCTTACAGACATTTTTTGCATTGGTAATGCCTAACATATTAACAAAGCAAGCACATTTTGGGCAATTGGCAGATTTTTTGTGATAAAGTATAGATGAAGCCAGCTTCTTTGCTAATATGCATACATTTTGGTCAGTTTTCAGAAGATCCTTTTAATGCACTTGTAATAAAAGAGAGCAGTCAGCACTTTATCCCCATACATTGCTTATGCAATAGCTGGCATTCTAATCAGCAGTGTTGATTACAAAAGCAATAATTATTCAGTAAAATGTCTGAATATTATATTTATTTAGTGATGGGGTGTATGGAGCTACTTTTGGTTTGAATTATTATTTTTTTTTTTTTTTTTTTTAAATGTGAATCTGATGAAACGCTAAATCTTTTAAAGAAGTTAGTTTAGTACATGCCCATAATGGATGTCATTATTGCTTGCAAGATGTATTTGTCACATATGTCTCTTCTACTATGTTGAAATGGATAATAGACATGTATGTTATGTTGGAGCAAACATGTAAAAATGATAATGACATGGATTACTTTGGCTAATGTTAGCTTTGCTGGCAACTGTTTCAGACTCGACAGAAAATCTGAGCAAGCACTGAGCAGTTGTGTCCAGTAATATGTAGCAGCCAATCTGGAATTGGCTTTTCTTAATTTAGTATTGTCCTATCAAAGATTGCTGTTGTCTGATCACCAGGTCTGTACAGCATTGCAGAGAGGGTGAAGGTGACCATACATGATACAGTCTAATTGTGCAATCTCCGTTACATCGACTCTCAGCTATGTAGTTCAAGCGCCTACCTGATTTGATACAAACTGAATGGGTTGTTTAGGTTTGTTCTCATGTTACATAGTTTTGGTAAATGTAAAGGAGCATGTGCAATTAGATTGTATAATGTATAGCTAGCATTACACCTATCCGGTCTGTGTGAAGTGTTATATTGTTCCTTTGCACCCACTCTGAAGACCCATTTTGCGCACCTTTTGTTTTTCCTTCCCTGTCATTATCAAGCTTTAGATCTATGAAGTCTTTGCAAATTCTGACAGACACGGGCACAAGATGCTGCAGGACCAAGTAACCCACAACTGCAAAAGTTCAGCATTGACTTCTTTTAAATAAAGCCAACCTTTTGTTTTTTGTTTTTTTCCTCAATACAATAAAATTTTGTTTTTTTTTGGTTTATTACTTGGTGTTTTTCTATGTCAACCTGGTTAGTGACCAGGGATCATGTCTGCCAATCCACAAAGAATTGTGGGTTACATTACAAATGACTGAGGCTGGATTCACACTTTGCATTGTAAAAATGCATGCAGTTTTCTGCATTGTGACATGTATTTTGGGTGTTGATGTGCCTTTACTACGTTTCCCTGCACATATTTTGCATGGTACTGATTTTTTTGCTGGTCACCTAGCATATTGCATTAAATAAATTGTAACACATTACATTTCTGAGACCCCCCAAAACAAGCGTTGATCCTGTAAAATTAACGCAGACTGGGTTTTCCATAATGCACTGCACTTCAGCACAGAAATATGAATGCCTTGATTGATTTGTATGCCTGCGCCTTGTTTTGATGTGGTTTTCTTGCAGTAGCTGGCTGCATTGTACCTCTGGGAGCTGCTTAGACCTGAATCCAGCCTGAATGTTGATCAGCTATTTGGGACCTAGAGACCTTCAGACCACAGTGAACAGTGATTGTTCATTTGTTCAGAACTATTACAGATCCCTCTTGTAAGCTGATCATTCCCTAGCATAGGTAAGTTGAATTTAGTAACTCTTCCTGGTCATGATGGTAGTGCAGTCACAAAATCCCCATGTAGGCAAGTAATTATTTGCATAATATAACTGTAGTTCTGTAGTATTTGGAAGCCAAAACCTTTTTTTGCTTTTTATGAGCTGAAAAGGGATTTTGAGCTTTTACCAGGGTTTGCTGTCCTCCCCTCTCCACTTTGCTAAAAAAAAATAAATAAAATTGTGTAGAACTTCTGCTCACTTCCTGTTCTTATGACATGATAGGAAGTGGAATTCTCCCCTAAATTTTAACTGTCTCCAATCTATCCAAAACAAACTAAAGTTTTGGCTGAAATTCCACAATAAAATAAGTTGTGTATATTACATCTTAATAGAGATGGTCAGTTTTGACTAAGTTTGTCATAGTTCTGTAATAAACGCTGATATGTTGGATAGTGTCAAGTCCACTTATAAGGTGATGGGAGACATCCCACACAAAATAATCCACAGAATTCATCTCCTTCACAACACGTCAGTACAGAAAACCTCAGTAGAATTCCATGTCTCTCAGTTGACTGAAATTTATGTTAAAATGTATGCAAAATATTCATTGAAATATTTTATGTGACATGATTGCATCAACATATGGGACCGACCATTCTCTACTTTTAACTGCACTATGTCCTAGAAAGAAATACAAATGGTTTATGTAGTATTTTGTTTATTTAAAACTAATGTAAAATCCTTTTTATACTGGTAATGCTGATAGAAGTATTGGATGGAATGGTATGACCTGCTAGACAATTTTTTGCTTCTTTTTTTTTTTTTCTTTTTTTGTAAATGAGCGCAAGAATGGCATGTTCATTTTGAAGGAATTTCTTTACTTGAAAAAAGTCTGTGTTACTGTGCCTTAAACTTATTCTGACTTTGAATAAAACTGTGTTTCTAATTATGTTTTGTGTGTGTTTTAAAGCTGAACTCAGCCAGCTCAGTTAATTTAAAAAAAAGAAGAAAAAAATTTTTTTTGCATGCAAAACCCACCTTCGTTTTAGAGGCTCCTGTGCAGTGCTTCTTACCTGCCACTAGATGTGGCAAAACTAGATCACAGATTGAAGCATGAATTTGGGGGTATAATTACATTTATAACAGTATAATTTACAATGGCTATGCATAGAAAAAGTATGGACAAGATGTAATGTGATAATTTTTCACATTGTTTTTAAAGTGATATTAAAGGAAACAAAACATGGTATACTTGCCTACTCTGTCAGTGGCTTTGCACAGAGCAACCCCTATCCTCCTCCTTGGGTTCCCTTCTGGCACACCTCCCCCTGCTGAGTGCCTCTACAGCAAGCCACTTGCTATGGGGACACTTGTGTGTGCTTGCTCCCAAGCCCCACTTGGTGTGTCCATTGACATTCAGAACGGGAATCAGCCCTGCCCCCAGCTAACTCCTCACTGGCAGTGTCTGAGCCAATGAGGAGGGAGAGAGCCAGGAGAAGAGCTGCTCTCGTGGGTGCACTGCATCAAGATCAGACTCAGGTAAGTATAATAGGGTTGAGGGGGGAGCTGCACACAATGTTTTCTACCTTCATCCATAGACTGCATGAAGTTTAAAAAAAAAAAAAAAAAAAAAAACCCATCGGGCTTTAGAACCACATTAGGGATCCATTCACACCAAGTGCAAACTGTGATAGGCATTGCAAAGCAGAATACCTTGTCACCCATTAGGTCAGTTCACACCACCCCATTGTGTAGTATTCAAAATATAAATATATATACATGTGTATATGTATATATGATATATTGCTCAGCATAAATGAGTACACCCCTTTTTGAAAGATTTTAATCAATATCTCAATGTACACAAGAACAAAATTGAGTTTTATAGAACATTTGTTTAGCTCATTACATGAAAGTAAGGTTAGTAATATAACTTAAATTACAAAATCTTTAGTTTTACTCAAAAATGAATACACCCCACAACAAAAGCTACTACATTTAGTATTTTGTATGACCCCCATATTCCCCATAGGTGTTTGATTGGGTTCAGATCAGGAGACATACTTGGCCACTGAATCACTTTCACCCTGTTCTTCAGAAATGCAACAGTAGCCTTAGATGTGTGTTTTTTGATCATTGTCATGTTGGAAAAATGCACAACGTTCAGGGGCACAGAGTGATGGTAGCATCTTCTCTTTCAGTATAGAGCAGTACATCTGTGAAATCATGATACCATCAATGAAATGCAGCTCCCTGACACCAGAAACACTCATGCAGCCCCACAGAAGAACACTGCCATCACCATGTTTCACTATAGACACCATGCAGAGTACACAGAGTCCCAGTAGTCTTCTTTCTCTGTATGGGCCCTGGCAAATTCTAGGCAGGCTTTTTTTTGTGCAAGGGTTTTGGAGAGGCTTCCTTCATGGACAACGCCCATGCATGCCATTCCTCTGCAGTGTACGCTGTATTGTTTCATGGGAAACAATCACCCCAGTTTGGTTTTCTACTTCTTTAGCGAACTGCAGTGAACTTGCATGGTGATTTTCTTCAATCCTTCTCATCAGAAGACGCTCCTGTCGAGGTGTTACCTTCCGTGGATGGCCTGGACGTCTCTGTGAGATGGTTGCAGTTCCATCTATGTTAAATTTTTGTATCACTTTTGCTACAGTATTCTGACAAGTAAAGCTTTACTGATATTCTTG